GTCACCAGTGAACCTCTGAGGAATTTGAACGGTATTTTTAAGATCAGAAAGCATACGCGAAGATTCATATTGCTCAAATGAATGATGATAACCGTTTTAGGAATGTCGTCATCAAACATGGTAATTTGAGTATATGCCGTCAGCAAGTTGATTTCGAGAAAACATATACAACTTTCAAAGCAGCTATTAAGTTGTAAATGAGTGAAAAGGGAATGCAAAAAAGTGACGTTTTCGTATTCAACCGTCGATAGCAATCAGCTGGACGCCAATTGCTTGTGCCCCTTCTAGGCAGCATATGCAGAGGAGATGGACATAGAAATTTCGATGGCCGAATAACTCCCGGGCCGACCAAATCCCTGAATCCGTCTTAGCCAGTTGAAGTTAATCGTTAGCTAGTGAGCACAATTTCAGGAATATTGGTGGTCCTGTTGAAAGTTCAGTGTAAATGTCGGCGCGCTCTATGGGGTCTGCGCCACGACTGGCAACTCGCTGGAGAGAATGAATGCAAATAAAGTCCAGGGCTGTTTATATCAAAATAATAGATGAATAGTTAGGGTATGACCACTTAGACTTAATTTTCTTAATGAAGTCAATTTCGTGCGCATGTATTTTGATGATTTAAAGAAAACAGGACGAAAGCAAGGTGATGAATGGGTAAAGAAGTACATAAATCCGGGATATTGGAAGTGGCCTGAGATTGACACATATACTCAGGGTTTGACAACTCTTCTACTTGTAACACGTATATTATCAACGGGTAGCAACCAACTGAAACGAGAAGTCAGAAATGAGTGGTTTCGAATATATGTTAGGAAAGCTATCGGCAGGTTGAGAATTGTTTGTTCTAAGCTGCCAATAAATTGCAAGGAATACGTAGCATGATGTACTCACTCGTGATCTGTGCGGATGCGTGGTCGAGTACTCTCAGCTAAGGTGTGTTTATGTTGTAAGTTTAAGATCCTTTAAATCTCCAAAATGTAGTAAAGGAAATACAGTTTTGGATACACAAATTGCAATTACTATCCGTTTCTATGACTACAATGTTAATAAAGTCCTCAATCAACTTTTTCTTGCGCAATCGTCCAGTTTAGCCTGTAATACGACTTCTCGATAGGAATTGAAACCAATTTCAGTTTGTAAACATGTGTCAAAGAAGTATTTAGCACAAGAAATTAACATCGATCCCATGGGTTGGTCACCTCCCACTAGATCATAAAGAGTAGTAAGGTAACAATATGTTCTAACCAACAGATGGGAGTGTATCGACGATTCTCATCACCAACATGTTGGCTGGTTAGAAAAGCCACCCTTCCTCCCGTTTTTGATGTTTCAACAATGTTTTAATCTAGGCTCTGTGCTGCACACATTGTTATAGCATATTTCTCCTGCTGATTCCAAGTTATAAGCAAACAAGACAGCCAAAGTTTCTGTATCGTAGAACAGATATCCATTTAGCATAACACAGTGCTATGAAGGTAACTAATGATGTAAATCATAAGATACTGTAAAGATAAATTTCTTTTTGGGACTGGTATTGATTGGTAGCTCATCAATATATATTCAGTATGAAGAGTTTAAGTTTGCGAAACCTATGAGTATGACAATAAGCAGGTATGAAAATAAATTATTTGAATACTAATAAATTTGGGATAATGAATATTTTTAGCTGGTAGAACACTAATTAGAAAGAATTTACAACAATCTGGGACAGCATGAGTTTTCTATGACTGTTCGTATTTGTAGAACATCCATTTGGTTAGTGAATTATCTGTTCACTTGAAGTATAGATTAAAAAGGTATGTGAAACTTCGTAGATAAAATGATGCACCTTTAATTATTAAAGGAAACCTCAATCTGAGTGTAAGTCGTAGGAGCATAACAGTATGACTAGTAATGAAAACTGAATGGAGGAGACTTATTTATTTAAACACCTAAACATTGATACGAGGCACCAAATACATATGCGCCACAAAAATCATTTGATTTGTGTGAGGGCTGGGATAATGTCCGGGTGCCCAAACCGAAGCAAGCGGTTTTCTCATGCGCCCAACACTCCGAGCTGACTCAACCGACCCCCTGCCGTACCACGGTATTTTGGGGTCATGTGTCCTATCATTTGGTTATATATATGGCTGACAATGGAAGTCCGATATATTCATGATCGGTCTAGATATTAGGCGGTCCATAAAAAGTGTTCATGATTTTAGTAGGAGTTCTAGAATTAGTTTATGAAGCTCCTTAGTGTCTAAAACAGGGTTAATTGTCTCTAGAACCTGACGACAGTGTCACAGTTACGGATTGTCAATGGCGGCCTGCTTTATATTGAACCAGACCACACTGTAAAAAACTAAAAATGGATTGGTTTCTGGAGTTTCGCAGTTAGTAGTGATGTGTTGTTCCTGAGTCTGTAGGAAGAGTAATAAGTCAAAATTAGGCAGGATGTTAGAATTCAGAGATCGTATATTATTTTGAAGAAAAATGATGGATTGTTCCTAATCTGATACAGAGATGGTACCCCACTTACCGTTACCATCTGTCTGCGGCCACAAAGTAGGTTGCTCATCTACTTTTGCATCACGCCAGATTTTTCAAAGTTTGACAGATTTTTGAATAAGCCCTAATTTAAACAGCTTATTATTGTTATCATTATAAGCTTTATTCAGTATTATATTTTCGGTACAATATAGAATTCTTAGCACAAAGTATTTCAACAAATTTCCGTTTCTTTCTTCTTGGTCGATCCTGATGATAAATAATGAGTGATCGCCAGTAAGATGTTAGCAGTCCAGTAAATGAACATCTGAATAATGCATATTCTTTTCTCTGCATATTGCCAGCGACCACATTATCTCTTATTGGGCTTTTTGTAAATTTGACAACGAAAGGTTGTACACTTTTCAGAAATTCACCAGGATAGGTTATGTGATTAATAGACATAATGATGTATTAAGACAAACAAAAGTAGATAACTTGTTGAAATATCTAGATGGCAGGAACAGGTAGCCCAGATGCTCAAACAGGCCGCTCATATATGCTTTATTGAAATCTATGAATATCACATCAACAGGTAAACAGTAATATTTGGCTGATGTTCAATCTTATCACGTAATTAGTAAGTTGTTTAAACATGAATGTGCATTCCTAAGCCCATGTTACTCGGGAGTTAGCATATTGCACGATTCTACGTCTGAGCTTGATGACCACTTACGACTCGATCATCACGTTCCGCTTCGGAAGATAGATCGAAACGTTTTGCAATAACACAGATACATCTGTAAACTGTCTGCTCTGGTTTCTGAATTTTGAAATATTTTCCATTATTGTTGCATCAATTTGTGTTTTATTGGTCTTCCGATTCCTGAGTTCCTGAATTAATAATGTGATTACTCTTGTTATCGTGTACAACATAATTATTTTGATCCGTTCTGTTTCACTTTACCTATGATCTTCGGTTTTTCACACACTTCTGTCTGCTCAGAGTACTGGCACTATTAATAAATTTTCTCCTTTCGCTTCCTCTGATCATGGTTTTCTACTCGCTTTTCGGCGTTTAGAATTTTGTACCTAGCTATAATATCAATAAAAGTGGAAAAAGAAAAAAGCTGTTAAATCATAGTAAGACACTACCCTTCATCCTCAAGAATATGTCAAGTTTCCTTCTAAAGGAATCCTGGGAAATAGTTTGGACTAGCAGCGAATTCCATCATTTGACTACTCTTAAAGACTAAAAGTCATGTCTACAGTCTGTTCTGCTGAGTTGTGTCTCCAGTTTCTGGGTGTTATCCCTTAGGTTTGTGTTGTAACTAAGCCTAAGTTGGTGTTTAAGGGGATGTTCAGAAGTGTTAGGGATTCTGTAAGTCATTAGAATGTACCTCCAAGACGCCTGTAATGTTAAAGATAAAGGGTAAACGTTCAGTAATTGTAGGCATTCTTCATAAGACTTGAGTTTGAGTCGCTGAACTGATTTCGTGGCTCGCAGTTGAACACGTTCCAGAGTGTCCTTATCCTTTTGGAGTGAGTGAGGAAATACTATGTTTCCGTACTCTAGATGGGGACGAATAAAACTGTTGAAAATTGTGTGGAAAGTTTTTCCATCAAACTGGCCGAAAATACGCTTCAGTGTTACCAGTGCAAGGTTTCCTCGAAAAGCATTTTTGCCACAGTTGGCGTGAGATTTCAGATTGTAGGGCACCAGCACTCCTAAATACTTTTCAACTTAGGGTACTTCCAGAGGAGAGTTGCCGAAGTTGTAACTTTAGTCTGCAACATGTCTCAGATAGACTAGTTTACACTTTAAAGTTTTAAAGATAAGTCCGTTGTCATCTGCCAAACTTTGGGGTCGAGTCGGATCCTTCTGAAGTCCCAGTTTACTCTCTTGATTGTGCATCTCCCACCAAAGTTTCACATGATATGAAAGAAGTAATAAGTCTGACGATACCTGTTGTGAAAGATCGTTTATATAAATCAAGGAAAGAACAGGTTTTAGTACTGAACCTTGGGAGACCTCATTAGGATATTCCAAAAATATGGAACGCTTCACGATTTTGCGTGTCATCCTTGAGCAAGAGCCAATAATAATCTTTTCTGTATCGTTCCGAGTTTAGTGTAGGTACCACCGAAGCGAATACTTGAATTAAGCCGAAAACCTCAAACTCCACAGAATATAAGAACCTAGATAAAAGACAATATATGGCATACCCCAACTTGTTGCAAATATATTGAGCAAGGGTAACAGGTAGAAAATTGATGATAGAATCACAAGATACGAACTCAATTAACAACATCAGTTATCACTCAAACAATAATTACTTCAATTTACAATTCGATAGAATTTAAGTTTTCCTAAAACTTGAGTAATTTTATTCATAACTAACTCTAATACAGCAGTCTGTTGATATCCATCATTTTTTAGTATTATCCTGTTTGTCTGAAGTCCATTATAATGTACTAATTAGTACAGATTGCAGATTATCAGAAAACGTTGGAGGGCTTTAAACACAATGAATTCGTCCTTTCCAGAGCAATTTACGAGTGTTTTTGACTTCAATACTTTTAATAGCATACAGAATTTTGTCTGTCAGGAGGTTTAGTAACTTTCATTATTTCCCTTTAGATTTTTACGACTAATAAATCACTGGTTGTTTCCGCTCCAACCGGTTCGGGAAAAACTGTAATTTTTGAGCTGGCGATTGTCAAGCAGTTGAATGATTACGAAACATCGTCTCAAAAAGATCCTTTCATCATAATTTACAGTAGGTCAAATAGTTGCAACCTACTATCATTAGTCGCTCCAACGAAAGCTATTTGTTCCCAAACTTTCAGTGAATGGAATAGAAAATTTTCCAGGTTTTGCCTGAACTGTTTAACGTTAACCGGAGATTCGGAGTTTGTGGACATTCAGAACCTTGGTAGCCAGGTTTTACTCATAACAACACCGGTAGTGCTTCATTCTGCTTTTGACACAAAATACATATTTCAGGAAAAACTAAATTCGACAGTTAAAACTTTCAGAGACTTAGCTAGTATATGGAACAAGTTGAAGCTATGTTTTATTGACGAAGTGAGTAGTTCGTGTCGCAACACTTCCTCTTAGGTACATTTAATCGGAGAACATGACAGGGGATCAATACTGGAAGTGCTTATTACGAGAACTAAAATGTTAGCCAGACCTCGGTTTATATGTGCTTGTGCTTCTTTATCAAATGTGCAAGATGTATGATGGATTTCGCGTAATATAGTCATTTGCATTCCAGATTGCTCAATGGTTATCAGTGACAGAAGGGTCTGTTTCTTTCTTTTCGTGAGTTTGAAGGATTGCTAATAACTTATAGATTCGGAGAAGAGTTCAGAATGTCACCACTCAGAAAAGTGGTACATGGATATATAAGACAGAAAAATCAGTCTATTTATCAATTTGAAGTAAATTTAAACTACAAACTTCCTTATCTTATAAGTACATATTCTAGCAACAAGCCAGTGCTGATTGTAAGCATTAAATTTTATGCAATCTATAATAAGTTTTGTACAACTAGAAGTGGTGCTGTTAGAACTGCGGCATACATTTTGAGACATATTCATCTTACAGTGAACTCTGAGGCTGCCAGAAACCGAAAATGTTATTCTCAACATACAAGGAACATTCATTTAAAAGGTTAGAAAGTTTTGACAGATTTCTGTGAATCAAAATACAATAGTCGTTTGCTTTTTAAATCGGAATTCTTGTCCCACATGAGCTAAATAGTACTTTTTTAATATTTTCAAAACAGAAGTAAGTAGTATAGTGTTTGGACTGGTAGCATAGTGCTTAAACGTCGTGTTTCATAACCACTGAACTACGATTCAACAATGTCATGAAGTTTCATGAAATTATCATAGAATTGATACCGACAGACCAATATATAAACGTGTACATAACACAGTTAATACACCATAGATAAAGCATTTATACTGTGGTAGACCAGACAAATATGAACGTGAAAAAATGTTAACCAAGTTATTAAGAGTATATAATAATGTTAATTGTTACGAATACAACAGAAAAATTGAGACTTTACTTAAGTTCACCAAGTTGATGCGTATTCGGATTGGGTCTGGTACTAAAAATCCACAATTATAAATGTTCGGTAATTCCGCCCAGGTTGTTGGACTCTCCAGTAATGTAAATCAATGTTAGGTATGATATATTCCAACCCGCAGTCTATAAATGCAGATAATGTTTGATTTGGAATGCAGTTAGCCCAATCACAGGTGAAGGTAGAGCAAGGTATGTGTGTCTGACAATGTATTTGTTAGCAAGCAACAGTATGTCACGCTATGTCAATAATACAACGGAAAGTGTGTTCAAGGTCATTCACTAAAACAACAGATACAGTCGTTTAATGATAAATATACATACAGTGAAAGATTGACAAAATAAATACAAATAATATTAAAAACTTTACAAAATAAGCTTGTCAGTCACATGTCCACATAGCTCCTCCCAAAGTGTCCGGAGGTAACACTGGTTATAATAACAAAACATTGTAAGAATATGATATATACATGTATACAAAAATAATGTTTACAGTTATAACCAACAAAGATGTGGAGATGTTTATGATATGTACGTTAGTGAGATGTACCGTGTGTTATTGTGTGAGAATAGCGGTGATGTAGCATAGCATAACAAACACAAAAAAATGAAAACACTGTCATTTAATGTCTTGTTTTGCTAACAATCATAATAATGTGCAAAACTGTTAGTAAACCCACACAAAAAATTGAACTGTTTATTTTTATGTACAATGAATAAACAATTAAATAGAGGTTACTTGTGTATTATTGTAATAAATTTTTTTTAAATGTGACAAAACGAAAAATTGTGAAAAAAATGTGATTGATTATGTACATTGTGAAAAAATTTTTTTGGTAAAAGTAGTAGTGTAGGACATCGATAGATGTTTGCTTTGATTGTTTTTTTTATTCGACGAAATGGATATAACGCTTGGGTTTTTGTACGGCTCTCCCTGAACGTGTTAAACAAGTACTGTATTTTGGTCAGAAGTAAAATTTACGAAAACAGATCGCTAAGTATTTGGACGTTTGGTCCTACTCATGAAACTAGGTGATTTATCTATCACAATGTACATGAATACAGTTTGGAGATGAGGTAGAAAGTTTTATTTCACCTATAATCTGAGAAGTTAAAATGTGGCAAACTTAAGTTATCTTGTAATTATACTGTGAACCAAAGAACTTGGCCAAATTTTACATAAGCAAATCCAACGTGATATTACAACCTCTTATCGCACACTAAGATAAAAAGCATACTTTTAATGCTAATTTGAGCTAACGTCAGATATTTTATAAGAAATAAACATTGAGATCGCAAATATAGATGATAATGACCACTACTGATGGAAAGCTGAGTCAATTTATCTTCAAATCCAAATATTCTATTAAATAAAGATTTTTATAGTTTTGCTCGATAAATCAAATATTTCCGAGTCAACAAGGGATTTTATAAGCTAGCTTAAATGTTTTTTCAAATGGATGCCTCAAGTATTATCTAGTTCAATCTTCCTGGTTATAAGGAAATAAGAGTTGTATATCTGTAACCCCAAGTAAATCGAATTCCAATAGTACTATTTACCGTAAAATATTCATCTCAAAAAGTACACTTTTTGAAACAAAAAGTTTCTGAGGTGAAACTAAAGTTATGTCTCTCAAAGATTTGTGTGAGTAAGGCCATTAAATTCAAAAGGCATCCTTCAAAACTTGCTAGAAAAATTTGCAAGAAGGACGGCACAAGATTGTTACTTTGACTGCATAGCGGTGAATTTGGGATCGAAAGTAGCTAAATGAAGTGATTCGGCGGTTATCGAATACCTTACATGCAAATGCGCGCGACAAAATGTGTAATACTTTTGGTTTTAGTTAGTATACTGGGAAAGATTTTCACTAGACAACTCTTCACGTTTTGTTGTATATTTTATTTGTCATAGAGAGTGAACTAGTATGTTAGGGAATCTGCAAGATACTTCATCCCAGAGTTATTTATGGAACAATATTAATGCTGCAAATGTCAAGTTTTCGGAGAGCTCATGCAACATTTTATTGAATTACACTGTAGTTCAGGATGTTATATTTACCATACAATGGTAATTAAAATAACCCAATATGTAACTGAGTAAAATTAAAGAGAATTCAGCAAAAAAGTTTCTTTTCGAAGAACTCATTTACTTAAGCTTTACATTCGTATTTATGGTTGTATGGTAACTATATGTCTATAAAAGGATAGAAAAGATTGCATTACAAAGTGATTTGAGACTCCACTTATCAAATGAGATTAAGTACTAATTGGAGGGTTAGGGAAGAACAGAAGGATAAAAATAATCTACGGGTGGAAATTACGAAAGATAATTGTTTATCTGACAGATATAAAGAAAAACAAAAAACGTAATAACTTAATAATAATTATGAAAGATTGTTAATAGATAATAATAACCGATCACGGTTTAAAATTACAAAATACTGACCCGAAAAGTCGAAATGTACTACAAGAGGGAATTAGAGCCAACGTAGGATAAAAGACTGGATATATAGTTTTTGAACGCGGTTTGGGCTTGAAATGATGGATTGCCGACACCTCAGCGGTGCAAAAGTTGTTGATTCGACCTCACTTTGATCCAGTTCCTTTGGTTACGTAGATTACTTTCAAAGAAATGTCCGGAGTGACATGTTCAGGGTTGATTAGATGCTCCTATATTGAACTGGTAATCGTTTTGCACTTTCCCTTTAAAGGCCCCCTCCCCCGAATAATGTCCTGAGTTAAGTTTAGAAAGTGATTGCTTTGTACGGCTAATGCAAATCAATGTGGCCCAAAGTAGAAGTTTATCCTTAACACATTCGTGAATCGTAAGCCGGCTTCGGAAGACGATGAGGAGCCTAGCTGTGTAAATGGTTTTATTTAGGGATGCTGAAATACAGCCGTATCTCCTTTAAATTCAATACTCATAAAAAGTTTTCCTTTAAACTGTTGGTGCTTTTTCAGGATGCTGTGCAGGTATTAAGTTTCTATCGACGAATTTAGATGGATAAACATTTCTGATGAGTATCTCTCATATTTGAAATTGCTCATTATCTTTTGTGTCACTGGAACACATTTACCTAATCCTTGAGAATGAAAAGCGAGTTAAGTTTCTTTTTCCGCTCAATGAGACTCAGCTATGGAAATTCATATGTTAACTATTCCCTATAGGTTTTCTATATACAGAACTCTATTACCATAGTTAACAACTTGAACAAACAGATGTGATGACCTGACCAGATGAATAGTAACTTATAGCTTGATTTTTCACTCGCTAATTCACACTTACTATCTTATAGTTAGCTAATTTTGCATTAATTTACTAGCGCTAGTCTTCTAATATTTCTTAAAATTTGAAATAATCTAGTAAAGTAGAGACATCTCCAGATTTACGTATTGCGCCGTCCTACAGTATGTGTGCAATTCGTTACTTCACTTGCAAGATTTGTAGACAGAAACTATGTCGTGAGAACAACATTTAAGAGCCACACAGCCAAATCAATAACGTTCCTGCTATTTAATTGATTTATGGACAAGTGTTTAATTTTCCCCAATATATCGATATCATTTGCATTGAAAAGACCGTTACATGTGATTATTGATTCCAGTTTGATTGTTTTTACCCCATAGCTTTCACTTTTAACATTCGGATTAACTTACACTTAAGTGGGATAACATTCTTTAGAATATATATATATAACGGCAGTTCTAAATCGTCTGTACGCACAGGTTTTTTAAAAATAAGTTCTAGGATGCATAGATAAAAATTACTGCTTTTCTTTCAAATTTTGAGAATTATGTTACATCGTTTTGTTCAGATTAAATCTGTTTTTTGTAGAAAAATTACTTTATTAGGGAAGTATTCACTTTTTCTTTTAGTAATTTTACAGATAAATCTAGCAAACATGTTCAAAATTGTTATTTATTTTTGTTAGTATTATTGCACACTAGAGTAAATGAATTATTTATCAACTACTTTGATGTCTTATTGTTTCATATTAAAAGAAATATGTTACTGATTATAACTGAAATTTCTAGCAATGGCAACAATAATTAATAGAGTTGACAATATTTAATGAAGTTTAAACTCATAGCAAATGTCTTTTGGTGTTGATGTCTACTGGTTAAATTTATGCTAAACTTTAAAGATTCAACTGTATGATAAAGATTTCTATCAACTAACCGATTTTGGAAGTAACTAATATCTTCTGCTTTGTTTTCTGTTTAACATTCTATGACATTATATTCAGATTTTTTATCAAATGGTGTCGCATATCATCATGCTGGAATGGATGTTGAAGACCGAAGACTAGTTGAAGATGCCTTTAGGTCAGGCTGCATCTCGGTCTTGGGTAATGTTTTCATAATTTCGCTTAATTTTTTATCTTTCAAAAAGCCTGTACTTCTACTTTGGCAATGGGAGTTAATTTACCAGCTCACTTGGTTATTGTAAAGAACACAGAACAGGTGATTGACGGTGAAATGATAGGCTATAGTTCAACACAGTTATCACAGATGGTTGGAAGAGCAGGACGTCCACAGGTAAGAAAATAAATTGTATTTAGTATATTTGTTTGTAAATTTTTCATTTCTTAGGTTTTTAATAGACAAAGAAGACTATACACTAAAGTGCTTATAGATATAATAAATAATTCCCCTAAAATGTATACACCTTCTTTGATTTATTCAGGAAAGAACACTTCCTTAAAGGAAGACCTAGGTGGGAGGTTCGTAAATTTCATTTGACATTTACACTGCCAGACGTTACCTGGTGACAAACCTTCTCAACATAATGAAGTAATGATAAACATCAAAGAAATCATCAAATGAATATTGCTGCATTACAGTGTGCTGTATCAACTAACTAAACTAACATGGAATTATAGTCTCACATAGTGGTTGGGTTTTAGCATTTTATTGTGTCGGTAACTTATAAAGTTTACTGTCATGTAAGGATTTCTATTTATACTTTAAAATTTCCTACTTAAAAACAAGATAACTTTAAAGCCAAAATATCTTGTTCCATTTAATAAGTCAACTAAACTTAGAAATCACTAGTCGTACAATTCTTGTTTACTATTGCTGGACTATCTAGCAATTAGCGCCATGATAATTCAGAATAAATATAGTTGTTTGGGGACATCATTAGCGAAATAAAGGTTTATTCAAGCAACGAGTCATTATCAGAACAAAGTGAGTTTTGCAAACCCCACTGGTAACCATCCGCAAATATAACAAAAGACGTACTCACACCGATGAAAAATTTCCTAAAATTCGATTACAAATTTCCTGAATACTGAGATACTTCTTTGTATATCATGAAATCTACTGTACAAAGTTAGACTTCTGTATAGCTAGTTTATGACGTAAGTTGACATAAACGACAGTTTCATTTGATTTTTTCTCATTGCAGTTTGACAATGAAGGAGTTGCAGTTATTATGACTACAGCTAATCTCAAAGTTTGTGTTGTTAGTCAGTCTAAATAACCGCGTTTTTAGGCCCATTATACAAAGCTGCTAAATGAATGTGATGTAATTAACAGTTGGTAAGTATGATTTATTCGATTACCTCTTTTCTTAATAAACTTGTTTCTTATAATTCATCATCATTAGATTCAGAATAGCATTAAAACTACATAAATTTAATCTTGAAAGGAGACTTTAGAGAGCATTGAACTATTAGTCAGTCAATATCTTTTGAGTAATTGATCACTATTAATGAAGTAATTTGGAACGAACCAGCTTTCTTTATAACACTATGAAACGTATTTTTTATTTTCCTTTACAGTTTAGAATCACATTTAACAGAACATTTACTGTGTGAAATTATTTTGAGGACGGTATATGATTTTGATAGCACTTTGAATTGGATTAAAAACACGTTTTTCTACGTCCGAATAACCAGATGTCCTCAGTTCTATGGTATGTTAATCTATGAGTATGTAATATATAATGCAAATACGCGTCATATTTCTCAGTTGTAATCATCAATATTACTACACCAAAACTCTGAATGCACCAGTTTGCATTTTTGAATCAGTAAGAATAATGCTTCTGGATATAGTGAAGCGACGTAGAAGATTTAAGGTTAAGGAAATGAATATGAAAAGGGTTATGTTTTCCTTTGAAGCATTAGCCGTTAACGCAAACTCATATGAAAACAAAACGTTCATAGTTAAATCATCCAATTTATGGAATGCCACTCATTTTCCATAAAAGATTTAAACTTAAGTAAAATAGACTGCCGTTTCGTCCTGGTGTAAAACTCCATAGTAGTGCACATCTACGTTTCCGCACACAGGAATCGAACCCAGGATCTTCGATTTCGTGAGCGAACGCCTAATCTCTAGACCTCTGAGGTGGCAACAAATGCTGTTTATGTATAACATCGATCAAACATTTGATCTCGCCCAACCCTTTATCCGTTGCCTACAGTGGATAACTATCTCATACCCTACACGGATTGGACTCCAGTGATCGCGGCTTCTCACTAGGACTCCAGGAGTTACATCTTTAAGCTAATTACTAGTGAGAACATGATTGTTATAAGTAATAGGGACCCAATAATAAGGTAAAATGGCCGTTCAGCCCTTCCAAATTTTCACTGGTGGTCTAGCTTAGATCGACTCGGGAGTTCAACTATGAAAATGCTAGAATCTCCATAGACCCCCATACTGATAATAATGATGTTCTCACTAGTGACTAGCTTCAAGATGTACCTCCTGGAGTCCTAGTGAGAAGCCGCGATCACTGGAGTCCAATCCGTGTAGGGTATGAGATAGTTATCCACTGTAGGCAACGGATAAAGGGTTGGGCGAGATCAAATGTTTGATCGATGTTATACATAAACAGCATTTGTTGCCACCTCAGAGGTCTAGAGATTAGGCGTTCGCTCACGAAATCGAAGATCCTGGGTTCGATTCCTGTGTGCGGGAACGTAGATGTGCACTACTATGGAGTTTTACACCACGACGAAACGGCCGCTCAGTACTTCCAGGTTTTTATTGGCGATATAGCTCAGTTTGGCTCGTGTTTTGAACTTCGAAGGTATTACAATCTCTATAAAACCCTCACACTAATTAAATAAAATGCTTGATGCTATTTGCTGAAAATCTGAATTGACAACACGAAGAAAACGCATGATTTTTCACCAGTACGGATCGATATATTACAAATGCAGACAAAATAAATTATTTGTATTTCTTTAAAATGCTGTTTTTGTTCAAGTTCCTTCATTTATTAACACATGTGAGCTTAACCATCCTTTTTCAATCTTCGATAAAAGTGCAACATCTAGGATTTGTAAGCATTTCTTTGTTCATTTGTTTAGTGAGTAGTATACATAAGAGCATGATTTTCACTTAGAATTACGTTTCAGTCATCTAAAGCCATTTACATATGTCTTCCATTAGTACACTACTGTAAGACATCTCAACTTGCCAGATGACAAAGTAAATAAAGTGAAAGCCAGAGCTTAAAGTAAATTCGTCAGTGAAAACTGTTCTCCGGCTTTCGACATTCACCACTAAGCCAAAGGGAAAATGATGGAAATGTTTGATACTGTATACAGTTTGAAAACTGCGAAGCGGATGTGCTACAAATCCATGAATATGTGTCCGTTATCAGTAACGTCCTAAATACGTAGATCAAAATAAATGGGTTGACGTTAAACTGAACATCAAAAAATTAGAAGCATAAATACAGACTAATACGAAACTGCAGTAAAATGTAAAATACTACTGCTCAGTTTCAATGTACTTTGAAGCTAATTTGTATGTCAGTTAATGATCATATTAGTTTTATACTCTCATAGCTCTCCTTAGTTAATGTGGATAATCATTTTACAAAATCATATAAGCTTTAATTATATTACACTTATTCTGTATTGGCTTTTCCTGTATGATGAATCTTAATATGAATTTCAATTTAAAAAGTAATGATAAGATCAATACAGAAAATAACTCAGAGAATAACTTAGATGTAAATGAAAGATCAACGTTAAAGTAGAAAGATAAAATGATGAGAAATTAATGAATGTTAAAAACAACCTATAATGAAGATTATAAATTATACTATCTAGATTCTCAAAAAAGCGAATTCTAGCATCTGGAAAATACTTTTTATAAATAAAAATGACAAAGTTGAATGATAAATATTGTTTCCTATGATTAACAATTCCAAAGTTATCCTCTTTCTCCCTAAAACCACCATTAAAAGATTGTGCTATTATGTGCCGCAGCAAAGAATTCTACTGGTTTATAACCCACGACATGGAAAAAATTTACATTCATAATGTATTTGATTTAGGATTTTTTGGGACTTTTTGAAAATAATTTCTGGGGTAATCATTCTTGAATTTTATGAACTAATAAAACATGTCACCAACAAATCATTGTATGATGTAATAAGTAACAATGAAATACTTATCAATGTACAATGGTTCTAAGCACTTGATAAACATGATTGAGGAATTTTATTTTCATCCGTTTTCAACCGAATAATAAATTTACCATATCACACTTGTTATCTCTTATATTTTAGGCTTACCAGAAAACTGTGACAATATATATATTGATCAATTTGTTCAGGGTAATATTAAAGATTTCATTTCATTTAATTGTTTCTATTAGATCTTTGTATTAAAGAAATTGAACATTTACAAAACTTAAAATTAATAAACTATAATTCAGAAAATAATCAAATTAATCCCACTGGTAATATTTTCATTTTAATAATTTATAATATAAATTTAGATTTAAGTGAAATAATTTTTAAAAATAATCTGCAATTAGATACATTTTTGAAAATGTTTCAGTTATCTGGTGAAGAATCCGTTGAAGATCTGGTAAATTTATCTTTGTTTTCTGTATCATCTCAGCTTGTTATTGTTTCAAGTTATTATATTGCTAACATCTAAATAAAATATTCATCTATTTACTATTAAAATAAATATAGTCTGAAGGTCTATGATATATATACATTGAAGCTTTATTGATTCTGTCTGTTCTACTTTCTTAAGAAATTCAGATGTAAATGTCATGGTATAACCATTACATCTTGTAAACCTGTTCATATGACAAGTACAAAATACCAGCAATTACTAATATATTTATGAACAAAATAACTTAATACTGAAGATTTATTTATTTCACAAAAGCAGACTCCTATTCAAACTATCGCTAACCAAACAACCCATCGATAACATGGTCACTCCGTTCCACAAGATCGAACTTTTCCTGAAAACGGTTGAAATGGTCTTGAAACAATAATTAATGAATATTTATAATCTATCTTAAGGGATATCATAAATTTGAAAAAAAAAGTAAAGTCCTCATACTCTTTGATAATTTTATTTTAATTGTTAGGATATTCTACAGCATTTTCATTTTGTATGGATGTGTTACATTATCGAAATCGAGCAAAAAAAAATGGTAGTCTGTTATGCTATTAATACTGGATTCGGTTCTAATAGAATAAATTCTTGGATTGCAATGTTTTATTATGTTATATATTAAGAACTAAGTTAACTCTTCCCAAGACTTTATTGATTTGTTCCCACTAAACAATTTACGAGACTCATCTGACAATAAGTTAACCATATTCTTCAAAACTTAAACTAGTATTTAACTTTAGTGAAGGAAAAATACCATGACAGATTTATCATTAAAATTGTAACTAACAGTAAATTGTCGTTAAAAATTTGAATTCCACGATAAATATTTGTCTGGATTAACTAAAAGGAAAGAGATCACTCAGAATCTGTTATTCAGGTTCTTCATAAACACTTTAGCTATAGCAAGATTTTTTTGACTTACTAAAGATTTGTAAACGAGTTTAAAGGAGATGGTGTTAATTCGTTAAGACAAAATCTTGGTATAGAGAGTTTTTCAAACTCAAAGTCACTAGTTTAGGTTACGTCCTCTATTTGATCAAGGCAGAATACGTTATAGAACTAACGGTACTCAAATGTGTAGAAACCCACAGTCACAAATCAGAAGACGGAAGAAGAAGGTGAAGTGATTGTCAGGTAAAAACCTAAAATGTACGGAAAAATATAGGTATCTATAGTTATGAGAATTAACTATAACATGATTATAATTCAGCGAATCCTCAAGGAGGTAAGTTGTGCTATCGTCCAGTCGTAGCATGCCACGTTGACATTCCAGAGGGCTCTAACAGCTTCTGGTTGGATGGGATTTCTTCAGCTCTTTTAGAACCACTAGAGGCTTCCTCGAGCTTTCTGAAAAAGTTCCAACACTTTAAGATATGGTCGTAATTTGTATTTGCTAACAGTAAGGTTGCTGTCATCTTCCGCATATTCTTAACTGTTACATTAGCCTCATGGTTGATGTATTTCAAGCACTCAACTTCTATCCTGTTAAGTACCTAATCCAACAGTTATTTCGACAAGATGAAGTTAAGCAGATCAGGAATATTACAATATCTGCCTTACTAGTGAACTCACTGATCACTAATGGATGACGGCTTATTAGATTTCAGCACAAATAAAAAGAATAAGCCTACTATTTTGTAACTGAAGCTTTTCATGGTTATTCGTTTCTGTGCATTGAATTTAGGTATTTGTAGCCTTTTCATGTAATGTAACTGTCAGATTTCGGTAACATGACAGGTTTGAGGATATTGTCATAGATGTTTTTAAGCGTAATTCACCTGTGGTATTAAAGTCAAGTATTTAATGACAGGAATATGAGAACTTGTTTAAAGAAAATGAATAGGCTGAGGAAGAAATCGATCCTTGTGAATTATAATGAGTCATTTGTATCTTAGGGAAAACATTAGAATGAATGACTACTTCAAGTGATCTCTCAGTAACAGGAGAAAAATCAAGAAATTTGTAGAATTTTCGTTTAATCATTTAGGAAACAATCGATCTATTCATTAACGTCCCTATGTAATAAAAATCAGTTGTGAAATTTATGGACACTTAAATAAAATTTAATAGAGAGAACATCTTTTTAAGCAACAACTATACTTACATTACTTTACAATAAGTTGACATAGAGCACAGTTCTTTCATCGGAATTTATGAATAGGATTATAATAGCATAGAATTACTGGGTGCAGAAAAGTCAGACTCACTGTTAAACGATCTCTTCTTTATTCAGAGTGTATGGTAATCGTTTAATAAAGCCAAACAAATCCCGTTTCCAATTTTAACAGAAAAGTTTTTGATTTTGCAGAGAATAGTTTGTATTTGATCAAGTTTATTACTACATGAAGATAGGTCGACTTCAGCACTATGTAAATTTTGTTATTTAGATGCTTCGCATTTTAAGGATAAAATGTTGGTATTTAAGTAAGTTATGCTAGAGATCACTAAGTTGTTTATAATATTAGATGATATTTTATAAAACACTGTAGGGAACACCAGTATTTTTACAGTTGTTGCGGATAATTTTTCTCTCCATATTTCTTGTTTTGATAGATAGGATAGCTTAATTATTGTTTATGTTCTATGTTTTATTACTTGACATGGAAAATCCATGAATTGTTAACATTTTTCTCTCGGAAAAATGATCTGTTTCTAATATCGTAACTAGTATTCTCTATGGCTACAGCTAGGGAGGATGATGAAGTGCTACTAAGACCAAGTTGGATCACATACTTTTTTCATTTTGCTAGCATATTATGACCAACATTTTTGAAGTAAAACAATATTATTAAACGATTCATTGGGACATAAAATTCAGTTCTTCTATGGTTACTATAGGTCTGAATTATTCGATGCTATCAACTTTATTGAACGAATTTAAGTTTGAAACATTATGAGATGAAAAACATGTACACACATGAATTTAGGCATTGGAAATGAATTTCAAGAAATATGCCATCAGTGAGATGAACTTTTCTTTTCCAAGACTTAAACCCTAAGTATCATTGTTTATTTTCACATCTAGTTCATATCCCAGTCTGATAAAGTATTCTAAACAGTAACAAATATAAGTGTTAGCAGGTTTTGATTTCACAACTTTTTATTAAGCTTTATTTCATAGCCAGTTGCTCAGAGATGAATGATATCCGCCTGAGACATTGTGAAAAGTCACTGCTTAATAACATAAGTAGAGCCAAAGGTCGATCAAGCCTGAGGTAAGAATACAATTTTTCTCTTTACCTGCCATATTTTTATTGTTATACTGAATATAGACTTCTCACAACAAACATGAGTAAGTTCTAGGAAAGGAGAATTTAACTGTGTTGTATTTTGTTAATCACATCTTTCACACTAAATTTCTTTTTTCCACGATATCGTATTTTCTCACTCTTTCTGTTTGTGTCTTTGTGTTATCAATTAACCTCTAAATAATGGCAATTTACTTTAGACATTTCCTATTAAGTCGACTTTTTCTAATATTGCTCATTTAGCGAAATGACCGATCCTTTCGAAACATATAATTGAGTCTTATTTACATCTCATTTAACACGAATTATCCAAAGTAAGGTACTCACACAAATTTCTTGACTCGGAACCGAAAGTAAAAGACAAAGCATTATTCAACTCGCTTTGAGTTTTCTACCCACTTTTTGAAGACTTATCTATTCAGTTGCTTCAGCTATATATATATATATTTCTGGCATCTAGATGCGAACTGCAGTAGAAGAGGTCGTACTTCATTCTCGTTGCTTGATAATATCAATCAAGTTCTTGTTACATATATTTACTATAAGTAATTAATCAATAAGAATGATTATTTATCTTTCTAAAAACTTTTATTAGCTTTATTCAGTATTATATTTTTGGTAAAATATAGGTTTCTCAGCACAAAGTATTACAACAAGTTTCCGTTTCTTACTTCTTGGTCAATCCTGACGATAAAAATTGAGTGATCGTCAGTTAAATGTTAGCAGGTTAGGAAATCGACATCGAAATAATGTACACTCTTTTCCCCGAATATTGCCAACAACCACGGTATCTCTGATTGGGCCTTTTGTAACTTTTAGAACAAAAGGTTGTACACTTTTCAGAAACGCACCTGAATAGGTTACGTGATTAATAGACATAATGATGTATTAAGACAAACAAAAGTAGATAACTTGTTGAAATATCTAGATGGCAGGAACAGGTAGCCTAGATGTTCAAACAGGCCGACAAGTTATATCAAGCTCCCAAAATAATGAGCTTAAATACATAAAATTTATTTAAGCATCAAAAAATCATCTAATTACTATTGTGCTTATAAACAAAGTATTTGTCTAATATAATATCTAATGAAAACTAAAAGATAAACTTCAGCTGTAAAATTACTGGAAACCAAAACGAAATAAATAGTTATTTTGACGTATTTTTGAACAACGTTTGTTTTAAATTATATTCTATGTTCACATACTTTCTAATTTACCTTTAAACTAAGTAATGTCTCTAGCACATACAATGTATACTTGGTTCCTGAGTTTAATCATTTAATGTACTATATGTGTTACTCATTACTCTTAAGAACTTGTGGAATATTTAATCATCAACTAGGAAACTTAACTTTCTATAGCTATCTAAAACAGTTTTCTGGCCGCTCATTGTAGATTCCCGATTCATTCAAGAATTAAAAATGCTTCCTTAAAAGTTGTTTGTCTAATACAAGCCCAGCTAGGTCAAGTTGCAATAAACGATTATTCATTGAAACAAGAAAGTGAGAAAATATTACAATCAGCTTTGCGTATTTTGAATGGTACGTTTATTTACTTATCTACATTTGCTTTTTCTACGGTCAACATAGAGAATTTACTTTTTGCCTGCACTGCCATAAATTTTGATCTGCTAGTAAATAATTGTTCTTATGTTTTCTAAAATAAATTGAATCATCGATATCTGCACAAGATACGACTTATTGAATCCAAAGTGGTCACATATCTTTACGATATTGGCTCTAGGCCTGGAATCATGATGACTGTCTCTAAAATAGATACGTGCATACTTCAAATTTGTTGTACTAAGTTGAAATAATTTGTTCCAATCCTAAAATATACGTTTAGAGGCTGTATATTACCCGTACTCTATGATTAAACGATTGAAGCAACCTATAATTTATCAGTATGGGATCCTATATTTCTTAATAATATAAAGAATGATAATCTGTAAAATAGATCACACAAAATTTCATCTGCAGTGAAATAACAAGTTGTCTCATTCACATAGTTTGCTAATGACGGAATACGTAAATCTAAATGCAATCAATCTTCAGCCAAATAACCACTTTATATCTGTTTTACCTCAGTAAACTCAACCTGTCTGCTTAAACTACTTAAAATGGCTAAAATCAATGAGTAGGTTCAGAGTCACATAAAGCATCTTTTATGACGTCCTTAGTTAGTCCATTTTCGTTTGGTTATTAAATGTGTCATATTGACCTGCTCAAGTATTTTATGACCATCCTATGTACTTCGTCATTTATGACTATGTAAACTACATCGTGTACGCTTTTACGTGTACTTACTTCTTGTATGTATGTTGTTTATACTTCGATGAATTTTCTGTAATTTATTCCGAGTCGCTCATTATTTATTGAATAGGCCTATTTGCCATCCTCGAATCATATCACTTATCGTCTGTTTACATTTATGGACCTCTAAAATATATGTATCCAAAACCACTATTGTACTCAACTTTTGATGAACCTTTGTTCTAAACGTGTTAAGCCGATAGAATATAAATGGAGTTAATTGAGATACATACATTTCATTGGATTCTTTGTCGTCATATCATACCGAAGTCAAATGGGTCTTAAAGTGATGAGCCCGAGACAGATGAAAACAGCCAATGCATTGACGAAACATCGTTAAGTCAATGTGATTTGTGGCTGTATATGTGCTTACTGTGTTGGATTCTTTATCTGCTTAGGAAACAAGATGTTATGTTGTGTGTTCGTCGACTGAGTCAGTTTCGTCGCATTCGCTGTTCGAATGCGTGGAGTTTGGAAGGTTCTTCGTTGGTTCATTATGGAAGGTTGTATTTCGTTCAAAGTCCGATTATTCGTCTCTCGATCACACCTCTAACGTATCTCATTCTGTTGGTTTTGGATTATCAAACCTTACCTTAAGTTCTAAAGACCGTCAACAGCTGTGTTTTAAGAAACTAAATTATATTTCCTTTTGGATTATATAAATCATTTCTCTTCAACACCAACTGAACTATATAGCCAGGTAAATATTTTGTCTACCTTGACTCATAATCGTGAGTAAATGATTTTGTGACAGTCTTTAGGGTGTTCACTGGAATCTTTTAATATATTTGGCTTTATATTTTTTCTAATGTTCGTTTGACTAATTAAAAAAATACCAATTTCTTGTTCAAAATGTTTATTTCAAGAAAAGCACATAAAAATCATTATACAGTAATAAAACTACTTCTCAAATTATGTTGTTTATATCAGTGGTAAAACAAAGGAACGTCCCCATAACCTGATTGAGATGTTTCAAACTCATTTATTCTATCTTCAGGTTTTCAGAGTCAAGAAAACGAGATATCACAAAATAACACGGAAAGTAGTGATTTCAATATTTTTAGAATCAGCAGTTATTATGAAACATACAATAACATGTAATAAAGAAAATCAATAAAAGTTGAATCGACTAGAAAACGATAGTTGGACCTACTAACAAGGAGATTAAACTTGGACTTTCTAAAAATATAGTTTTTATTGATTTTACCAAGATTTTACAGATACTCATCAAATGAATAGAGATAATTTAATATTTCAGTCAAAAATGATAATAAGCAATCTACTCACTTGCACACATTTGAATCATACACATATTTATTATTATTATTTAAATGTTCTAAGATAAATTATATAAAATAATTACTTTTTCTGAAATGATAAGTTAGGTAACGCCGACAAATTACTTTCAAGTGTTCCTACTTTAGTGATACACTTTGAACCATAATTAATTAGTCATTTTCTTTTTAGGTTTAACTGGTTTGTTATGGCTTTATGACTGTCCATCGAATATGTATTCTAAAAATCATGAACGAAATTCAGATAACTCAACAATCCCCTCAGTTGCAACGAAATATCCATCTATGTTGAGTGCATTAGAATTACGTAAATCTGTTCATTTTCGTCGTTGGTTAAATTATCCACTTATAAATTTATATGGTTCATCTTTACTGACTGAAATGCAAATTGAAAAATTAATTGGAGCTAAACTTATAACCTGTAACGCCATTCAACAGACTGAATCTAGAAAATTAGAACATGTAAGTGCGGTTTCATTGTTTAAGTTTGACCTTAAATATGATGGTTGTGAGCAGTTTTATCTTAAACATGTGATAATTTATTGTGTAAATAATGTGCAATCAAACAAAAGTTCTACTTTGGCTTAGTAATGAAAACATGTATGTTGACAAGATTACTACTCCATAATGAAAATATATCTATTATTTCAATGATATAGCGTATATCTAGGGAATGGATTTCTGCAGTCCTCACTAAGAATGTATCAACATAGACCATAAGAAAAAATAATAGTATGGTGGAGTTTCGTCCTCAGTTCAGAGAACAATGCTCCATCAAAATCATTCAATATTTACCACCATCAGACATCTTGAATAATCGTCAGGTATAACTGGATTATCGGTAGACCATTATTGAGCGACCACGAAACTACAAGTTGGAAGTCAGCAGTTCTTAAGTAGTGAAAAAACGGCGATTTTAACAAAAATCGATTCGGAAAATTATTCAATGATTTTAAAAAACAAATGCTCATTTGAATGCAAAGGTCAGGTTTGTGAACATGGATTGCGATGGCTTCTGCAATGTGCAAGAGGCGCACTCGTAAACCATGTGGCAAATTAGATGGGATATTGTAGATAACCTTAAAAGCTTTATTCAATTCGACTTGATGACCTGTGTCAACCAAGTGAGAGAGAATAGAACTTTTAATCACTTTTACCTGTCCTTTGTTTAACCACGACGGATGATGTTCAGTAATGCGATGACGGCGTACAATTCGGCAAGTCCGTCATCGCATTACTGAACATCATCCGTCGTGGTTAAACAAAGGACAGGTAAAAGTGATTAAAAGTTCTATTCTCTCTCACTTGGTTGACACAGGTCATCAAGTCGAATTGAATAAAGCTTTTAAGGTTATCTACAATATCCCATCTAATTTGCCACATGGTTTACGAGTGCGCTTCTTGCACATTGCGGAAGCCATCGCAATCCATGTTCACAAACCTGACCTTTGCATACAAAAGAGATTCGTACAACCACTTTCCCTGCCCTGGCCATCAGTTTAAGATTTCCTTCAAAAAAACTATTTTTCATACTTCTTCCATCTTTTTTTTTTAATTTTTTAAAACTTTTGTAATTTTTGTAATTTTTTAAACTTTTGTAATTTTATTTCTGTTGCTTTTGAACTTAATAACTTTTCAACATTCATCTCTTGATTCTTACGTAACTACCATCCTATTGACCATCCGTTAAAATTCTGTTCCTTCTTTGTTTCTTACATTACGCAACTTAGCAACTTCTTGATCACTTTGAATATTAATCATCCTCTTTCTTCCAATTAATTAATGTTAATTTAAATGTCATTATGTAATTATTACTTAACGTATCCACTCGATGAGTATTATATTATTATTGTAAAACGTATATATATTAGGGTAGAGCCATGATGAAAAACTAATTGAAAAGAAATTTCTTCGCTCAATTCGTTCCTTCTTTATTAACCAAATGGCAAAATGGGAATTTTCACTATATTTGACATTAACTGATTTTGAAACCATCTAAGTACATATTCCATAAACCTTGTTTATAATGTTTGATTACTTCTCCCTATGTATGTGTGTCCACACAAACATGTAAATTGGTAAGTGCATTGGGAAGTGACATAATCTTTATTGTATTGTCTAGATTTACTTGGAATCGTGGGCTTAGTCCAGTTTAACAGCGTTATAGATTTTCTCTATGTCTGCTTTTAGTTTCTGTCTTAAAACCACACTGTTAAATTCACCTCTAAAGGGTAGATTGATTTCGATCAGTCGTTGATAGGAGGAATACAAATGAACTTATTACTCAAAAACAATTCGTTCACAACTGTCTAATCAAGCTGGAACTACGCATTTATTATTATTGTAATTAAATTACCTCTTGTTTCATTTTTTCATCTCGGAGCAGATTCTTAATGAAGCACCACCGTATGGAAGAAAACTGCTTGAATATTTAGATAGTATTCCTAAATATGAACTAGAAGTAGAACAAGTAAGTAATATATTTGTTTGTAAATAATAATAGTTTTGATAACTTTTACAAAAGTGTTAAATAATCTGAAGGTGAAATTATGGTACCACTAGCTAGTCTAAATGGAATCCATCCATGATTTGTCTCGACTCAGTTGAAAATGTGTATTACGAGTTTTAAAATACCATAAAGTTTGATAAAAATGGGTCTACTATTTATCTTTGAATTTTCATTCAAATTGAAATGAATAATTTTATATTATTGTGATTCAAAACGTATTTCATCTATGTACCGATGGTATAAGTTGAGAGAGCTTGTGGGAAGTAAACGAATAGTCATTTTATGCCATCCTTTTATATATGTGCCCATCAAGTTTGATGTGAGGACAATTCATGGATTCAGGAATGTGAAAAAACCACTAGCGGTTAACAGTTAGGTTGGTCTGGTCTACATCAGTCAATACATTGTCAGTCTGTAACTACTGTCACAGAAAAACCATTATTTATAACATTTTTTAAGATTTAACATTATTATTCCTTAATAATAGTTTCGTTAGTCAGGACGACCTAAAATATAATATAGAACTTTCTTCACAACGGAAAAACAATATTTCGATATCGCGCAACCGGCTTTATTGTTGTCGACAAGTGTAATATATAATGTGAAATCCAGTTGTGAGTTTCCATAAAGAAGATGATCGATTGTGACAGAAATAGAAAGGATTTAAGGAAACTAAATCAGCCCAATACTTATCATCCAATAAATTCTCTCGTAACAACTATATTTAAACTTAAATGAAGTTTCGGTATTTTAATTTTTGGAGTTACTTTTTCATGAACAGTAGGTTGAAGAATCCTTGTGAAGCGTTAGATGTGCCCCAAACTTTTTTGATGTTTAATCATATTTTTTTTGTTATATACATAGCAATTTATGGACATATCTAAAACGGCAAAATTAAGCATCCCAACGGATGTGATCAGATGATAAACTAACTGGTGTGAAGAAAAAATTAGTAGTTTGAGTCAAATGACCACTCATTACCTTATATTACATCACATCTGTATTTGACTACAGACCCTAATACTATCTATCAAAAATGACTCGCTTTCAGCAGTTACGTTTTGGATACTTGTCAAAATAAATAAGCAGATTCTTTTCGTAAATCATGATGACAAGATACATCTAGTTGTGAGGTTTAAATTCTGTAAAAGTGCATAAAATCCCTTTTGAGAGATAGTGCATAATGTTTATAATGATGCATCGAAGACTACAGTCTCTAAGTTAAACACCCAGAGTTTATTTTATTTTTACGAAGGTCAACATAAGAACTGATTCGTTATCACTTCTTGTAATATTCTTATGCTAGTGAACCAGGGATTTTTCTCGAAATTTTATGAAAACCTTCTTGACTAATTATTATTACAATAGTTGAAATCATGAGTCAAATGAAGCTAGACCACTATGGAAAACCTGGAAGCACTGGACGGCCGTCCTGATAATTATTATTAGACAAAGAAAACAGTTGGAGCCTATGATTAATGAATAATAAGGAGATTCCAATTAATATGAACCTATTACATGGACGATACCAACGACATATTATTGTCTCGAATCGAAGGACATCGAATTATTATACTGGCGTATTAAGGAACATAGTTTAAAGTATTACAACTCTATTTACAGAACATAAGTTCGATTTTGGTGGGAAGGTATTCATATGCTTATGAAAGTTTTCTAAAAGAACGAAATTTGTGCTTAGTGACAAATAAGTTATTTATGTTTTTTTTTAAAAATTAATAAAAGATAGGTTCAGTTTAAAGAGTTACAACGGTTATATAAATCCCCTTGTAGTTTATTAACAATTTGCCTGAATCTTACCATTACTATTTGAAAGAATGTGAGATTGTATAGAACTGTTTCTGACTTGTAAAATTTGTTTTACGTTCTTTAGAAGTCTGGTTACGACTCAACAAATATTGGACTGATATTTACCATTACCCAAAAGAATAACTGTAGAGATTGTGCAGTTTTATTAGTAGGAAGTGCAAAAAAATATCTAGTTAGAAAATGGCTACTTGAGTAAGTCATTTTTCCGACAGACTTTTTATGACTTCTTTTTATTTTAAAAAGCCAATGAAATAGGATTTCGTAAATTTTTTGATTGATAACTTGAGAATACATGATATGTATGTTAAAGTTGTTCAAAGTACAATACTAACTTAGATAAATTCTGGAATATGATTAAAAATGATAAGAGGAAACACAATATTTACAACTGATTGATCACTGGGCAGTGGCCAATATCATTTATGTCATTTGACACTCAGTAGAAACGTTTGCCTGTAATCTTGAGGGAAATGATGCTCCCTGGTAGATTTGATCCAATGTCACCTAGCTCAACACAATGTTTTCAATGTTGAGTCAATTAGAATGGTAACTAGCTCCAAACAATACCAACTTACAAGAAATGAATTAATTTTTCTTGTAGATCCTCAAAATTTAAAATGTTTTTTTATCAGTCCTATGAAGTGATTACATAGGCATAAATACCGAAACTTATTCGTCCTAATCACTTTATAAGTCTAATACATCCATATACAAATCAAATGGGTTAGTTTGATAGGAAGAAAACATGTTGATTTTCAGTCTAAAATCTAGAGACTGTAAGTACGATAAAATCCCGAGTAAATTACAAGATTCTAACTGTTTGACGGGGTAATTAGAAACAATATATGGTTAAATGTGACTTTACTAATGTAAAGATAGATCCGGGATCTGACTCCAGTGAGGTCGTTTCTGATTGCTATTGAGATATACGTATCGTCATTCCTCGTATATAGTTATCGACTTAACTCACGTTAGTGAATAACGGAATTTAAATAAGCCAAATAGGAGAATGAATTTTGAATATGTATATTTGATTTGAATAGGCAACTGGGGAATGCAGCGAAATGACGCGCAGTAGAGAACTCATGTGAGCCGAATCCATTTAACTAAGCGTTAATCAATATTTATAGTCACACAAAAATAAGCTACAAACACGTGATGAATGGGATAAGAAGGGCACACACATATGCGCTCATATAAAAACAGCCAAGATTGATAAGCGAACAGTTAACATGGCCAAAATGTGAATGAGATGGGCTTAACATAATAACCGACACTACAATGTTTCATAATTTAAAAAGGACTAGTAATTTTATGAAACAAAATACAATTTTCCTAGTGAATGAAAATCAATTTAAAATTTTATATCTTGAAACGATCTGATTCAGTAAACCATAATTAACATTTGATTAGTGGTTAATCAGCTTAATTAAAAGGCCTTAACTACCATAATTAATTCTGCGACGACTTCATTTTCATAGTATTGAATCATTCAACTATAAATAAATTGTTTCTATGCCTTATTAGTTAATAATTCACTAAGTAATCAGCAAATAAGTGATTTTTATAGGGATAATCCTAAAATTTATTTTATTCTTCCAATATTTTTAACTGTTACTTATTTACTGTAGATATAGAAACTCGGATGAAACTAGCGTTATTACAAGACAATTGGAACTTCCGAATGATGAAGCGTTGAACCCATTAAGTATAAGCTTGATTAGTGTAAATTATGGTAAGCTATTGGTAATTATAATTTTTGAAATTAAGATTATATTTAATATGAACTTATTTAGAATCCAGTGATCTATGTTGTACAAATGAATTGCGTTTAAAAGTAATCGTAGGCAGTTGAAAACGATTTTAGAAATAACGTGATGAGTTGCCAGACATGACTGTAGTTCCCAAGTTTTGCAATTATATTTTGCTTTGCTGAAGTTAAGTGCATTTACAGTAATCGATTCTTTTTTTCAACTAGGAGGTGTGGATCTCCATACGAAATATCACTTTATTTCCTTATCAAATAAGTATGATAGACCAACTTCAACTCCGAACATATCAACCAAAGATTTCATTCAAAATAAATTATCGATTGGTTACACAGAATTGATCACACAACAACGTCACTCACCAAAAAGAAATACTGACAACACTAATGGTAATAATGAACTAAATTTATGGCCAGAGCCTACTTCATCATTCATAAATAATATAAACAGATCGAATGATAAAAATAATAACGATACCTTTTTGAATTTAAAACTGCCTTTAACTCCAATCGTCAATAAAGCAAAACAATCAAGTAAGCAAAATTTGAAATTAAAGAAATGTACAATGAATATTCAAACTTTACGAAATCAAAAAGAAATACATTACAAAACACCACTTACATTCAGATGGACGCCGATAAGTGATACGAATGAACAACAGTCACCTAAAACTCCCTTATTACAAACATCTATACTTGATTATGTGCGGAGTAAATGTAAGGTGAGTATAGTTTCACATTACTCAATGATGAATTTCAATTCAATTAAATCTCATACGTGTTGTACAAGTGAGAAGCTATCTGTACTCAGTAGCTAAGTGGATATCACAATGATGTGTAAGGCAAACGATAATAGGTTCGAGTCGCGTAGTAAACATTAACTCCGGGGTACAAACGCATCCAACCTACGAGTTCTAAAACGGATAAAACGCGCGTTCTGGATTCCATTAATAACCACATTCCATCTGTTTTATGTTTACTCAATACTCGTTTAGAGTTAGTGTAGTAGAAATTATAAGTTGTGAACTGAGTGAGACCGTTGGGCAAGTCTCAGCCTGATAGAGATTATCTTTATACTATGGTTAGCTGGAGGTTGGTAACAGTAGTATGAATGTAGAGGCATCGATGTACAGTATTTAGGTAAGAAACTAAATCTAATTAAATTTCATGATAATATATACTTAAGTTTGAAACATTTATCCTTCAGGTTTATTGTTTAAAGAATATATTAAAAATCTGTGTGCTTTGAGAATAATTAACCATGTTCATGGTTTGAGGTAAGTAGATGACTGATCGATTTCAAAAGTAGCCAAACTTTGTTTTATAGAATTTCAGTAAGCAGCATAGGGTATATAAAAGCTGAAAATGAATCAGCTTGAACTAATTCAACGACATCAAGAGTCAGAAATATCAGTATTAATAACTAAGATTGAATTCTCTAGTATGAACAATTAAATTTGTTGCGATTTTATAGCCAAATTTCAAATAAATACTTAGCTTACACGTTTCTTGTTGACTTGTACATGTTATTAAAATATATGTAACATCCTGAAAAAATCTTATACCTAGTTTATGGGAGATGCTAATAATAACTAGTTAATGGCCATCCTTATATTTTTACTGATAAAATCTAGTAGTTCTGAGGAACCTCAATTTATAAGAGAAATAGGGAACATTTCAATCACCGTAGAGTACTTTAAAACAGACATAAAAAAATTGTATCTGACAGAAAACTATAGTTGATACTTGGAAAGAGCATACAAAGTTACCATTGCAATCAAATGATTTCATTTCACCCTAAATAATTTTAGTTATTGGTAAAATGTACATTACTAACATTTCTGTTCAAAATGGTGTGAAATACATGTTCAGCTTAAGTTGTTCAATGGTCTTAAATTTAAATTGCTGTATATTGATGATAACCAGAAAATTGCTTAACAATAAAAAACTACTCATTTCATTGTCATTTTCATGCCTAAACAAATTGTAAAATTTAATTAGGATTCAAGATTAACTCTTTCAACATACAAACAGACAACGAAAGTAAAGAATTATTCTATATCAGAATCATCTGATAATGATGAACCTTCAATTCAGAAAATAAGTCGTAAACGATTTAAATGGGATCCAGAGGATAAAATTGCAATGGATATAGATTTGAGTCAGAGTTCAACGTTCACCCTTACACCTGTATTAGATGGATGCAGTTATACAAAAGAAACACCAACAATTCCTTATATATTATTAAAAGATAATACACCTGATTTATCCTCCATACAAAGATCATTTATTAACCACGATCTCCTTTGTGCGTCATGTCCACCTATATGTGATGGATCTTCGAAATTAAGATACTTATCTAAGAATTCAGTAAACTTAGAATCAATGCAAAATCAAAACTCATCATTATATTCGAATATCAAACAGGAAGCTGAATTAAGATCTGATTGTTCGATCAAATCCGACTGCCTAAATAATAACTACAACATAAATCACATGCATGACGAGGAATCAGTTAAATACGACAACGATCAAATTTCAACACCGATAAAAATGGTGCAATACAGGCCTGATTGTACAACGAAAGCAAAATTCAACGAACATGATACAGTTGTATTAACTGATCTATCAAAATCTAATTTTCCACTTCAACCGTATACGGTAGATATTGCAAACTGTACTCCTCATCGAGAAGAAAATTCTACTACTGTTATGACAGAAATAGAATCAAATTTTGGCAATACTGGAAATTCAACTCTTGAAATTTTGGAATTAAATGAAAAAAGTTTTAATAAACCTAAAGATTTGAAAGTTTTAAAATCAGTTCAAAATAATCAATCTAGAAAGATGAATGAATGTACACTACAATTACAAAAGAAAATAACATGGTCAAAAGATATCACTGTCAGCAATGCGATTCAGAAAAAACAGAAAAACCAATGGAAAAATGAAAATGATCAATTATTATACGAATTAGAAAAATCATTTTCGGTTGATTATCAACTAATTAACGACGGATGGTGTGAATTGGCATGTTTAATCAAATTTTCTGAATTAGGTCTACTTCACGGTATGTTTGAGTATTGCCTAGGTGTATGCTTTGTTAATGAATTTTGAGTGAAACTGTTTTCAGTAGTCATCTTTTATACCACATTATCAACTTTAGTTCAAGAAGTCAAGTGAGACTCCTAACATACACACTTTGCAGTTCAAAGTCTAGTATATCTCTGGTATCGTTGTTAATCAGTTTTATTTAATCTAAATGAAGCTTGAAAACACCTTCAAAACAAAATTAAGTTTTTTCGATGATTTTATAGTTTCAATCATACAGCATTTCTAGATCACACTTTAGGACTAACGATATGGATTTAACTGTTAATTCTTATTTTTTATTGCAATACAGCTAACATGTTGTTTAGAAAATCATAATCACACTTTCTTTTAAAAACTTTATAAATAGATAATTCGGAAAAAGAAAACTAATTTCGTTCCAGGATATCGTGGAATTATTTTATCACACAATACTTTTCCATTATCCAACCAAAATCCCCGACTTTAAAGTTGAAGTGAAGGAATATTAGTTGATCGCTTACATTGGTTTTACTAGAACATAAGATAGAGCATAATGATTGCAGTAGTTAAACATGCAACAAAAATACACAACTTTCGACCATCACAGTCTAACTTTCTAATCAAAATTTTAGAAGAGAAACGGTATTAGGAGAAACTGATCGATTCAGTAGAGTGATGGATTACAAAAACAGAAGGACTTGTTTGTATTCGTCACAGGTCAAGTAAGCATTTAAAGATGGACGACTAATCTAGGGTGATTACAGAAAGTATATAGATTTTTCTATCAAATCTAAAAGTTTATTCGATGTTTCTTTTTATTCAATAGAACAAATAAAGCCTAACTCCATATCCACAGGGACAGAAACTCCTCAACCTTCTTGCTCCGAAATGCAACTCAAATATGAAAAGCATAAAGAGGAAAAGCGAGTGTACAATACAAACATACCGAACAGTGCAGTAAGTTTTATTTTCACTCTTGCTCACGAGTGCATAGTAAAATAGGTTATTTTGTCATTACTACGATTACTAAAAACTTCAAGTGTAGAATATAAGTTACGTAATAGTTTATAAAATGAACTGTTTACTTTACTCAGTGATGCAATGGGTTTATGTCAAATGTTATCTAGAAGATAAAAGATAGTTAACCGAGTTATAATTTCTGTATGAACCGAATAAGTTGCCTACAATATGTGATATACATGCTTTCAAATGGAATGCGGGCTAGCTTAAGGTTAGGTAAAAATACGATGACTTCAAGCATAAACACGGTTCCTAAAACCTGGTTTGCATCATACAAGTGATCATAGACTTCATTACGTTTCTTGAAAAATAAATACCGACAGTTCTAATTTCTAATATGGGTTCACAATCACTCACTTTTTATTTACATTTCAAGAATCTATCAAGTTTATATTTTGGGTGGATTCAGTAGTGTTAATTTCTATATTCTTCCACTTTTCATATATAAATGTTCTAACAATAAGAGCCTTCAGTTTACCAGTGCAACAAGTGATAGACAAAAAAACGAACTTCGGCTTGAGAGAATTTGTATTTCAAGTTCTTTTTACCGAACTTTTTCTACAGAAGGTAATCTTTTTAATATAGTGCATCACATCTTGAGAGATAAAGAAGCATATGACATGCATCGATTTTGATATTTTATATAGTTGGGAAGCAAAGCCCCACGGCATCCCAAAGTGTACCTGAGCATTATGAGACTATTGCATTGCTTGATTTTAGGGAGATATGCGGCAGTGAAATTAAAATACGTTTGGTCATTGAGTGTGGGCAAACAGGCACTTAACATACTGATTATTAAATAAGTGATTTCCTTTCCTCCCATTGATTTCTACTCCGGGCTCACTGAGTGTGACTGCATGTGTTGAATAAAGTATTATCTGGTTCTCTAGTCAGAGTCGTGAATCCTGAATCTGATATAAAGTGGCTAGTCGCATTATCGTGGCATACCTGAGAGAAAAATAATTCATTATCAGTTTTATAAGATTGTCTTCTGTTATGATGACCGAATATATAGTTCGATGCAAACTTTAACTGGTTATTTGGTGAAGGAATAATTGCTGGGTTTTATTGGTCAACAAATAATATGAATCGTATAAAATCATATTTATTTAATAAACACTACTGTGCCTGATCGGGGTCCATAAGATTGTCGTAAACAATGGTTGGTGACGTTGAATGACATGGCTTAGAATCATTCGAAATGGCACAGATACATTCATTCTGTCTTTCCTATAATCCTGAACTTAAAGAATATCTTACACCTTTTTATTCCACGAACTCACTTGTGTCGAGTAATAGCGCCTATTTATAATCATTTCTATTGCTAATCATACTATTTCTACTACTCTGGGATTTATCTTGATAATTTCATTTTGCTGTATAAACGTGGTATAAGAAATTGAAACGAAACAGATAAGGTTCGGGTTCAACGTTGCATGTGATTAACTTGTTGCAAATGAGAGCTGAAGCCCTACTTCACAACTGATAAAATAAGAAAAAGCGGCGTTTAGAAGAACCATGTTAGACAAATTCTGATAAGCAGTATAGAGTAATGGTATTTGAATATTGTTGTAATAAAGAATTTCAGTGGACATGACCAAAGTTCAGATCGCGTTATAGGCTTAAATCATAAGAATATCCTTAATATTCTTTGTATTGAATCTAAGCAAGCAAATATCAATTATCCCATAATAAAACTTGTACTCACATTATGACAACTAATTACAGTTTTATCCGACTGATATATGTAAACCTAAGTGCTCGACATATTTTTCTTAAATCTCAACACACCTATGAGTAGAATAAACGAGGAATGTTTCTTTGAAAATATTCTTTATCAGTTGTTACACATTAATTATGTATTTCTTTTCTTTAACCGACAGCCAACTACATTAGCTCTTAAACAAACTGGAATTGGAATATTGGATTTATCTCTAACTCCTGATTCATACATTAAAGAAGAATGATTTACATAAGACAACTCTATTATTATTGTTAGTATTATTATTATTCATGTACATACATTGTTACAAAAATTATTAAATAATGATAAGAAATACTGTGACATTTTGTTATTGACTGAAACATTTTGTAAACAAAAGTATCCTGGCGAAAATGTATGATGTTTTTTTTGTTAGGAAAATATGTTTGACAAAAAAGTTACTGAAGATCTCTATCACAATTAGATTATTGGAAGGTTTGATTAGTTCCTCATATACTAGGTGGGAAAAAAATAAATGAAGGTTTAAAATAATGAATTATTTGAAAAAAAACTTTATAATCGGTAAAAGTTTTTACCTACAGAAAGAACACACTACTGAGTTTCTCTATCCATTTATGTAGAACTGTTTTTAAAAATACCTACATATAATACAATTACAAACTGATGTAATGACTAAAGTCGAAAGAAATTAGAGATCATGACAGGATACAAAGCAGCAGCTTACCAGAGTAGAGCATTACATATAGTGAACCCGCGAGAATCAATAAATCGCAATGTATGGTGTAATGCCCAGCTACATAAGTTGCTTTGACATCTAGTAAACATAGTAACACGATTTAGATGTTTAACACAAGTTTACTTACAACTAATGATTCTCTCAAATACCATTAGAATCATGAGAAGTTACTAATTAATCTCAAGTACTACAGCTTTCATTGTAATACGCTGTAGTTTTTGACCAGAAGGTGTGGGTCACATGAAAGTATGCTAGGTTTTTATTTTCCTAGTTGTTACTGATACGGATGAGAGCTATGATGGAAGCACTCAAGACTAACTGATACATGCTAGGTATGCCTAACCACAGATTACCATAATGCTCGATCCTAGTTGACATATGATTAGTATGGAAAGAAACTGAGGATCTACGTCACATCGATAGGTTCAGACATTCTGGTTTGGATCTACACAATAATCCTAAGCAATGGTTGGGTAACATGTTGTAAAATCCATTGTAGCAGCGTGATTACACTTACTCTCTAGTTTCTTATAAATCCTTTGTTAACTACCATCATTAACTTGAAATTCTTCAATTCCATTTGCTGCTTATAAACAGAATTTTTTATGTTCAGATTTCTATTGTTTTTTATACGACTGACTTCCCTTAGCTTCTCATCTAAAATTTCTCTCTCCTTGTGCTGATATTAAATGCGGTAACTTGGCCCGATATACATTTGTATCAGATCTGATGTTGATGTCTGACTGAAAAATCCATAAATAAAACCTTAATAAATACATGCAACAGCTCATTTACCCATGAAACTATTTGAATTTCAGCAAGCATATGAAACTAACACTATAAATCTCTCATTAGAATTAGACTATCAAAGCAATTGAAATATAACTAATGAAAAGAACATGAAAGGAAACAATCTACGAATACTATCGAAGAAGTATCCTTCTCAAACACAACAATGAAATCGCATATCAATCTATCATCTATTAAGACAAAAGTGTTGCCAAAGAAAATTTTCTCTATATACGAATGTGACAAGTTATTTAGTTTCGTAAACAATATTTGTTTCATGTTAAGAAAAAAAAATATGAAATTGACTATTCCCAACATAATAGAAGTTATTTACTTGTACAATAGTATGTATTCGTTCCATAATATCAGGTACAATAGCCTTGATAGATTCAGTCATACGATTAGCCAGTCGACTAACAGCTTTCTCTTCTGATTGATGTACACAGAAATGTTCTTTTAAAAATTCAGATGCATTATTTTGTTGACCATTGAAACTTTGTATTCCTGTGTTTGACATTAAGGAAAATAGAGTCAAAAATAAATTCGCGTGCCTGTATATCGATAAAAAATAATAATAAAAGGAATTGTTAACTACAATTGGTAAAAGTATTAATACTGTATAGATAATAGATGAACAAATAATTAAAATTAATTTTGACCCGAAAGTTATATGAAATTTATTATTATTATTATCAGCTTTATTCAATATTATATTTTTGGTACAATATAGAATTCCCAGCGTAAAGTATTTCAACAAGTTTCCGTTTCTTTATTCTTGGTCAGTCCTGGCGATAAATATCGAGTGATCGCCAGTTAGATGTTAGCAGTTCAGTAAATGAATATCAGAATAATGTGCATTCTTTTCGCTGTATATTGCCAGCAACCACATTGGCTCTTATTGAGTTTTTTGTAACTTTGACAACGAAAGGTTGTACACTTTTCAGAAACGCAGCAGAATACATCATGCGATTAATAAACATATTGATATATTAAAACAAACATAAATAGATAACTTGTTGAAATATCTGGATGGCAGGAACAGGTAGCCCAGATGCTCAAGCAGGCCGCCCTACAACTAATAAGTGAAACACGCGAAATCATACAAAGAATGGACATTTATGTGTATGGGAAAGGTAGTGTTATATCATGAAGTGAATGAAAATGAAAAACTAAAACTATGAGTTTCGGGATAAGTGGTTCAACATTAGCATTTTCTTCAAGACTACTATTAGCACCAACTGTTTAAGGTATTAAGCTGCTAAAAACTATCCTAATACCTGTCAAAGATGAGAAATCGATAAACAGTTGGATGGAAGAATTGAATACAGATCAAACCAATGAAAATAAATACTATCGTTGTTTAGAGATGAGTCGTAATATAACGATTAAACTATGTAAAACGTTTTTCAGCATATTTTATTTGAAACATTTGAACAATACAAACGTTAACTTAAATAATAACAACGTTTATATTCAAGCTAAAAACAATAATATGTTAGTACATAAAAAGATGATTAAATGTATTAAATAAATCTTTAGATTGTACCAGATTTTCACTACTTATCAAAATCATTTATCACTTACCGTCTTAAAATAAGAAAAGCTGTAAAAGTGATTTTCCAAAATTCATTAAATTGATTTGAATTTGGACCACCCATACCATCAATCATTGCACGAGTTAATCTTACTTCAGGTGCCATTGGTTTAGGATCAGCGCCAAGAATAAAACTAAAATCAATATGAAATAAATGACCATCAGCAGTGAGCAGTAAGTTCTCCATATGACGATCACCAACTCCAAGAAGATAAGTGATGACACAATAACCGGCTGTAAGAAAAGCAAAAAAAAATATTGTGGTTTCCTTAATAAAGATCTTGAAGGTAGCATAAAATATTCATATCACACACTGTTAGAGGAAGAAATACCACATAGTGATTGAAAATATTTGTGAAACTAAACAATTAATTGAATCGTATGATAAATAATGATAAAATTCTCTGTCTAATGTTCTTCCACGATCACTAAACCTTCTACTATATATAAAAACTTAGTATTCATCTTGATTATTTCACTACATTACGTAAGTATAGCGTGATAACTTAGAACGGTGCACAAATGTGCTAGTTTCTATGCTGCTTATAATTGAGTTAGAGAGTGATAAAATCGAAGACTTCAAAAGATAAATGTACAAAAACACTAGTTTACTAGTGATCTTTTCTAATAAAAGCAGCTTAAAATGGCTCAACCAAACACGATAAAATTATTGAGGATTGAGATTGTGAATTCAACTATAAAAAACAATGTAATTGAGTTGACATAGTAGATAAACGCGTGCTTTGAAGAAATACTGACATTAACTCTTCCCATACTTACACTAGTTTATTCTTAAATACTATTTCATTTGTATCGTCCTGTCGCATTCGCTTTGTTTATATTTCTCGTATTTGATAAGTTTTATCAATGAACGCTCGAATCGACTTCCTGATCGCTTTTAATAATTCCAGGCTAAATTTACACGGAAACTTGAATATAAAAGCAAAGGCGCAAAGTGTAAAAGGAAGGTTTTACTCCAAGTTTTGTTTATTTACAGAAAATCGAGGGCATTTATGGTGTTTCAGATGTCTTTGAGTTTCAGGAAGTTTCTGGAACGATTTTAAATATAGTGGAAGCACAGGTAACTATCCAATCGAAAACGTGACTCATTGCTTTCTAAATGTTTCTGAGAAGCTTCTATTGAACGCTGATGAAAAAAGGATTCCCAGCGTTTTCTGGGTCTCTATGACCTTTTCCGAGGAATACTTTGAATCTCCCCCATAGTATCAACTCCACAAAACAGGTTCTCTTAATTTAGTAAAGAATTTTTACCCTGTTGTCACTTAATACTTTATTACTCTAACCGTTTTGTAGATTAGTACTTAAACACTAGAACTATCAGAGTTATTATCGTCCTTGAACTACCAAAACAGCTAGTTATCTATAGTCAATCTATAACAATTACTATTTACACAGAATACCACTTTCATTGACAACTAAAGCGTTTTTCTGTCTACAAAGTTATTTTATTCACATAAAATGGCTTTTCTTTATAACATAAAAACATACCGCAAGAACGAATATATGTTTCCATAACATCTTTTTGAACGCCCATAGGACTATTTGGACTCGGAGCTTTTAACTGTAAATAAGCTAGTAATGTGGAACGATGAAGAATATCAGCCAATGAAATAGATTCGACAAATTGAACTAAACCTATAAGAAAAAAACATAAGAAAACTAAATGAAAAGTGATATTTTCATGTTTTATCAATACCGAAGAAAGTTTCCCGTCTGATTTATTACAGGAAAGAGTGTTACATACTTTTGCCATCACTCGGTATTTACTTTTACGATTTGTAAATTCTTTTATTTTTGCCTATTATTCTTCACCATGCTCCATTATTCTTTCTCGGGCTTCTAAGAAAAGATTTTACTTTGTTGCGAAGAGCGCTGAAGGCAGTTAATAAGGTATACGGTGAATCTTTTAGTGTCTTTATGAATATGCTTGTGGACAGACATTTGAAATCTGAAGAACTACTGGCAAGTGTTACTTTATCAGACACAAGCCGTCTACACCATTCACATAGTTCTCTTTAAATATATTCTGGTTAAACAAGACGCAGGTGTAAGTAAAAATATAAAGGCTTTACTTTGCTACCTTTTGTCATCAAATTTTTACTAAAAATCCTTGTTATGCTAAAGTGTAAAATTCAGAATACGTAAAATGTTACACTGATGTATTTAAGTAAAACATAAGTAATTTACCATGACGGTTACTTGTTGCCAAAACTTTATATGGTGTCAATCGAAGGTCGAAATTTTCTTTGCGAAGTATCTACAACAGATAATGAAAAAACGCCGTAAAATAAATAAATAAAGCATTAATGGGAACAGGGCTAACATTTACCTATATCGGTGCTCAGATAATTACAGAAGAAAAGTCTGAAATAACAACAAATGTGAATATTTTACTTCATTATTAATCATCACAAAAAGCTTATGGAAGTCATACGTTTGGAGATAAGCAGTGAGAAGAACAACTGTTAACACAAACACAACTACTAAGGTAAATGGTATTAAGAGAAAGCTATATGAAACTATGTCAACTGATAGACTTTATAGTTGGCATTGCGGATTGATTTTAGTTAGACAAATAACGAAAACCAAGAAGTAATGGATAGCCGTTCCGTCCTAAAACATGAGCTCCTCGGCAGTGTACGTCTACAACCCAACCGGAAATGAAACCCAAGACCTGTAGGTCTCGTGGCGAGCACTTAACCCTTGAATAAGAAAACTTGATAGGAACAGTAAACGCTATGAGATGTAGCGAACTTATTTTATTTTATGCGTTTAGATTCTTCTGCATAAGCACTAAATTAATGAACAAGATGTTTAATAAATATAGTCTTGTGAGAATGAATCGTTAATAAATTTATTCTATGGTTATAAATAATCGTGATTACTTCCCAAAATCTTAGAAATTCAATTTACAAAACAAGAGAATGGACAAGAAAGTTCAGAACGTAATGAACCGAAAGAAACGTGTAAATTATTCACAACAGAAGAGATGAGCTGATAGAACTAATATCTATTACCAAAAAATGTGAAATAATCATAATGAAGGTGATAATAGTAATAATATATTAAGTAGATATGAAAAATCAAAAAAGGTGCGAAGAACTGAATCCGTAAGAAGTTAAACGTGCTTTTTTGAAATAATGAGGCTGATTGTAATGATAACAGCAATAAAATATGGATGAAAACTCAGTTGAAATGTACAACGATGGTCATATTTTCAAGAGATAGGTAGTGAATGTGGACCATACGAAATGATTTTAACCGAAGGATCATTGAAAACCATAGTCTTAGACTGTCTCGTTCTAGTCAGCTTCAAATCCACTAATACTTAAGCGGCTTTAAGCAGCCAACCAGATATCGGCCAAATGATAAGCTCACATAATTGGTTAACGTGTGGCTTCCGTTTCAACAGCATGAGACGTTTCAATGTGGCTTGAATATCCAAGAGACACATGTATGGGTGAGCGTATAGCTTTTTTTAAGAAAACGGTCGATCAATGACAAAACTTCCTTCTCACTCCCACTCTTCTCATCGCAAATAGGAAGCTTGTATAACAGTATCAGAATCGGACTAAATATACATATTTCTAGCAATGTAACTTTAATCGCATAGTGTCTAACTGAAAAAAAGTCAAACCATAAGGATCCATGATAAACTTTTGTGCTGTGAACACCATGAATTTTAAAGTACAGTTCTTAGGAGTACCGAAGTTTTACAAATTGTCTTATTTTTTGAAGCACCAAGTGCGTTCATATGTCAAATTCTATGGGTAAATTATTCCAATAGATAGTGTAGAAACTATGATAGACTAAGCCAACAAAATCACTGTTTACCTCGACGTCCTATACTATGATAGAAGTGAAAGCAATAAAACCTTATAAGTATCAAGTCAAAATATATAATTATTCGATAACCTCGCAGATTATACTACATAACTAACTGACTCTAGAAAAAAGATAATATTGTAAGAAGATAGAAACAATTATTATGTAGAAAAATGGTTTATGAGCATAAAACAATTACTAAATTGCAATAGTTAATCAAACTCAGACTACTTTTCCAATTATCAAGCGACTACTTTATGATATCTGAATGCTTGGTCGAAATTTCTCTTAACTTAGGAGAATAAACTAAAGGAAATCTTACCACATCCATTAACTCAATCATTTGTAAAACCAATTGATCCTGACGTAAATCGTCACCGTGTTTTAAAATAGCTCGATAAGTGTCGCCATTCGGTTGGATAAAAGTCAGTAATGCAGGTCGTTGAAAACTCTACAAGAAATTGATGGCAGGTATATAACAGAATAATTGAAAATCAAATTCATGGAACATTTACATTACATTTATATTTTTAGTAGCCTACAATAATAAAAAGATACGTGAATAATTTCTAGGTTCCTGTATGAGTTTGAAGGGAACTAATTTGCCAGGTACAGAATCGTGTAGCTGGCTTTGACCCCACCACCACCACCACAAAAAATAGCTTGTCATATTAATCATTTTACAACTAAAGTTTTACAATATGTAATTTCAAAATTCTTTGAATGATGCCGTTCAAGATAATCATTTAAATGATGCTAATCATCGTAATTAACAGAGAAATATGCATATATCAACAAACCTTGAATAGTGTAGCTGTAGACGACTGTACACCGCATACAATAATATCCGGATTTAGAGGAAGCGGGAATGGTTTATCAATATGCCTAATATGAGCGTATTCTTCACTATCCAACTTTGATCTTAACAATTCAATCTATACATTAAGGCAAAAATAAGTAAATAAATAAGTTGAACGTACAATTAATATACACCAAATTTACTCGTTTACTTTACTAATGTCATGAACACCGGCATCAGCAAACACATCTTTTTATCATACCTAGTTAGTTCAATTTGAACTGCTCTTGTGGAGCTATTTATTATGGGAGCGCAACTAGACAAATGCATCATCGTATTTCTGAACATCGCCTTTCATGCTCGACCAAAGGACAGAAGAAAGTAATAAGAAGCTCTATGTTGCTGAATCGAGTCGATGCTGATCACTACATAGATAAAACGACAACGTTATTTATAACATCTCTCCGAATTTACCCTATGGTTCTAGAGTCCGACTCTTACATATGGTAGAAGCCATATGAATACATATCGAAAAACCTAACTTTTGTATATACAAGGAGTTTAGACAGCCTTTGAGTTTACTTTAGCTTTCTACTAAGATACTGTTACATGTTTCGAAACTTCTCTTTCCCTTCTCTTAAAATTCTATATTTACACCCTATTTTAATTATCTAACTATTTGTAATAATTAACTTATTATGAAAATCCACTTTAGTTTTAATCTTAGTCTGATTTTTCAAACGCTATATAAAATAACTGATTAGTATTTAGGTAAACTGACTCACAACCATCTAGTTGCTATCAACTTTTTACAAACTTATAAAACATATGCATTAGTGTAGAGCCTCGATGAAGAACTCCGTGAAAAAAATATTTCCTTGCTGAACTTGTCTTTTTATTGTCTGAATGGGAATATTTAATGAATTAATACAATATGATCCAGATTTTAATCGGTGAGCTTTGGTTGTGAAAAGTACGTATTTAGTGTTTAAATAAAATCTTAGCATCAAATAGTGAATAAAGTATGATGAATGTTTAAGAAAGACACAATTATTCCATTGGTCTTGTACTAAGGGAACCATATATAGAAGTAAAAAGTGAGAGGTTCCAGATGGAACATTATAGGTAAAATACGTGAACGAACCAGTAAAAAAGAAACAATCAAATCGACTGACTTTAATGTTTCTTTATTGAACTCAAATAAGAATTAGACTTAATAAAATAAATGGGGATCATTCATTAAACTTAGTTTATTAAAAACACACTAAGAATCATAGCTACATGGATATTGAGATGTAAATTAGCAGTTACTTAGGTGAAAATTAAAAGAAAAAGAAGGATAAAATTCTCTTATTGAATATATTATGTTTTTTCAAATGAATAGGAGAACACATAAAATTGAATTACTTTGCGTGAACGATTACCCAAATCATTGGTAACTGATTTTAGCAACCGGCATAAATCTTGAATGAATTGTGTTTGTTGTAGTAGTTCTATGTTCCATTTTTGACAAGTAGGACTACCCTATATATTAATTAATTGGGAAAAAACACAAAGAAACCAAGTTAATGAGAAGTTCAACTCTTATACTTTACGGAAACATTATAATAAAGAGATAATCAACTAAACCACTGTTACATTGGATAGGATCAAGAAAAATACCTTGTAACTAAATTGTATCCAATGGTCACTCATAAATACATACTTAACAATTATTTCGGACAGCAGTTAGCAGTAAAATCCAGGATAATTATTTCTTCCTATTTAGGACTAACCAGTCGAATGTACTCCTGTCGCAGTACTGATATCCACAGTGAAATTCAAAACTAGTAACCATCTATTCAAGTGTCAAACAATAATTAACTTCTAAATAGAATTAATAATGAGGCTTTCGTTTAGAGAGCTCGTATATCAACACAAACCTGGTGTTACCAATCAAAATAAATCGTGATTAGCCAATGAGCGAAGACAAATATATCCGCCTACCATGACTACAAGAGACTATCGAATAAATAAAACTGGCTTCACTTTCGTTATAATTTGAGATTACCTGTTAACTACTTTACATTGTACATTGATATGTTTCCGTTTTCAACAATACCTGGTTACCTATCGGCTTTCGGGAATTTAAATTGAGTGTCATATGATTAAGTACCGTGTTCTATTGAGTTTACTAATCTATATCTGTGTTCAGTTCTATTGATATAATTTTATAGTGTCTAGTCCTCTAGCATAAAGTACCAGAATCGCAAACCGTGTATGTTCGTTTTAACACTAAAGCAATGACAGATTTATTTATTTATTTGGACACATGAATATTGGTACAAGAGAGCGCCAATATATATGCGCCACACAAAACAATGAAAATTTGAGAGGAATACAAAGAAAGAAAAAAAAGCTAAGGAGCGCAACAAAAAAAAGAGAGAACAATAACGAAGAGATTGGTGTAAGGTAATGTTCTAGTAATCAGGGAACGCAAAGGTACAATCGGAAGAAATCTTTCAGTTAAGGGAGACACAACCACTTTTATGAAGAAAGTAAAGGAAGGTTACAGCAGGATCGCCACTGGCTTCTATTCTGAGCCATATCTGCCAACGTCTCTAGCCACTGTGTAGCACCATCTCTCGGACCCCAACCAGGGAGTCGTGAAGGACCAACAGAAGCCAGTCCTTTGCAGCTTTCTTTCATACCACGACACCATGTCATGCACTGACCACCTCTCCGCTTCTTCCAACCAGTCCCTGAGTCGGCAAATAATGCACGACGTGGAATTCTCTGGGACGACATTCGTAGAACATGTCCAAGCCACCGAAGTCGGTGTTTCAAGATGGTGACACCAATTGAATTATCATCTCTGTGCCCGAACACACGATGCCGAACCTCTGCATTACTGACATGTTGTTGCCACTGAATGTCAGCAATCCTTCGGAGACAGCGATGATCGAACACAGAGAGTCGTCTAACGTCCTCAACTCGGAGAGACCAGGTTTCACAAGCGTAGAGCAAAACTACTCTCACCGACGCGTTGTAGATCCGACCTTTTACAGCCAGACTGACATCACGAAGGCGCCAAAGATGGCCCAGATTGGCATAAGCCGCTCTGGCTTTCACTATTCGGGCATTGATCTCATCACTCACACCCGCACCAGCATTTATGCAGCTACCCAGATACACGAACTTCTCAACTACGTCTATCTGCTCACCATCCAGGGTGAGTACAGGATTAGAATCCTGCCAGTCTTGTAGGAGTACTTTGCACTTCGAAGGTGCAAAGCACACACCATACCTACGGACACTGATTGCCAACTGATTAAGTGCGGATTGCATGCCTTGGGCATTATCGCACAGTAAGACAATATCGTCCGCATACTCAAGGTCGAGAAGTCTTTCTCCAGGCAACAGATCCACACCACCATTACTTACATTCATCAGAGCTGTTTCCAGAATGTCATCGATGGCAAAGTTGAAGAGGAATGGTGAGATTGGGCAACCCTGCCTAACCCCACTACTCGAATAGAACAATGGAGAGAGGAGGTTGTATGCCTGACCACTGAGAAATTTCAGAGTATATTGCTTTCTAATATTTCAACTTTCTAATGGTGTTGATACTTGAGATGCACTTATCAAAATGAGTTCGTTATTTCCAAAGCTAATAAAATAAACGCTTCAATCAACATCGCTACTATCAGAATTATCATTCTAATCCTAACAGAAACCAGATAAATATCATAAGCACTTACAGAGTAACAAGAAATTTGATGTTACGAGAAAAAATGATCGGTTAAAAGTTATAGACAATAATGATCAACGCAAGCCGGAAACTGGCAAGGTTAATGGTCGATATTCCTTCACCAGATTGGTGTCGATAATAAAATCAAACGTTTGCTCTCAGTAACATTAAACTACTTACCATGCATACCAGTAGTGTTTTTCATTCAACTTGTACTGTCTAGCCCTATGTCAAGCCGACATGGGTTATTCTAGCTTCCAGACAGACCAATTTACTTATTTTTCTCGAGTTACATTTCGACCTTGTTAATTATTCGCTTATAACGTAGACTGCTTTTATATGAAAACATGTGTGCATCACGTACCCTATTCATAATGTCTTCAGCTTATTTTTGCCTAACTATAAATATTGTATCACGATTCGTCAAAACGAGTTGGCATATTTCATTTCTCCACTACGCTTCGTTTTCCCGCTTCTTATTTTTAATGTCTATCGGCATATAAGTGTAACTGAAATAAATTCATCCAACTTAATCCGAGTTAGGTTTCTTAATACCGCCGTCTCACAAACGGGGTTAGACTGGGTAATATTAGGAGTTAAATGGAAAATTTATGTTCATGGCATACTCATACGTTCAATTGGAATCTTCTCGTCTAGATTCAAACAGGAGATATAGAGATTAGGTGGGTTAGATATCGACCACTTTTGAATAATTTTGAATAACCAGAAAGTAACTAGAAAGTAGTATTTACGGATACCAGTCAAATACAGAAACATTATTAAGGTTCTTAATTCATAAGTCTTGATTTCATAACCGGAAACCAGTAAATGCTACAATGAAACCTCACTGCACTATTTCAAGCTACTTATTGTCTGTTAATGATGTGCAGTCGTGCAGTCCAGTTACGTCTTAATTTCAAGTATCCCTAAAGTTATAAATTCAACAGTACAATGTGTTTTAAAAAAGTGACAACAACAATATCAAGACTGTACATCCACCAAATGGTAAAAACTCACAGCATCAAAAGCATGTAAAAGTCTATTCAAAACATGTTTATACATCTTTTGAGTATCGGGTGGATTTACTCTATCCCGTTCGCAGAAATCATCTTCACCATCATTACTGTTTGCTTCTAATCGTAAAAACCAATACAAGTAATTTGCAATACGAAAATTTAATTGAGCACGTCTTATAAGGAAACTGGCTAAATCTTCCTATAAAAGAAAATATATATTTGGAGAAAAAAGTTTTGTAACTAGTCCGATGGGTTGTTTAAAATTATATGTGCACTTGTGAACATTAAACTCTATGACTCAATGGTATTGTGCTCGTGACAATATCTAAAGATTCTGAGATCATTCTACTCAAAGTCTGTTTTTTTTATCCAATTTCAATGACTTCCATATTTCAGATCATTGCATCAGTAACTGAAATCAACTCGTGATTTTAATTATGACAATCCAACAGTCTTTACAAATCCTCATATACTAATAATAATTATGTGCTCACTAGTGACTAGCTTCATGATCCAAATCCAGGGGTTCTAGTAAGAAGCTGTGGTTACAGGAGTTCAATCGTGTCGCGTGTGAGATAGTTATCTACTAAAGGTAATGGATGAGAGTTGTGAAATATCGTGAATTAATTGAAGTTAGATATTAACACCGTTGGATGCCAACTCAGTGGTGATCTAGAAGCTAAACTTTGGCGCGTGAGACCAAGGGCTCTGGGTCCGACTCCCGACTGCAAAGTTGTGGATTAACACTGCTGGGGAGTCCCATACTGCGACAATACCATTATTTAATGCTTCCAGGTTTTCAATGGTTGCCTAGCTAAGATTAATTCGTGATTTAAACTATGAGAATTCTTCAATCTCCACAAATCCATTATACTAACATATTTATAATAATAAGTTAAACTAAAATATATTTTGTAAATAAACAATGCTACATAGTACACTTTATAAGCTTCAAACCTCGAGACTATAACTTCGTTTCTCTTTCCTGGAAGATACTAGGATTTTCTCAAATTACGGTATCGAGACTAAATGGTTTAAAATTGGTTGGTATTATATACATAGATGGTTCCGTTGTTAAATGTGACTGAAGATGAGATTTACTTGGTATCATTTAGATATTCATATAGATCACTCATTTTAGTGGTTTAAAGACTTTCAACATTTTATATAACTTAGATCACTTGATCGTTTGCTGTCAGATCACAGTTAAATAAAAACTCATTTCGAAACCCAAAGTCTCTTTAACTAAGAATAACAATGTAATTTGTTTATTGATAATCAGACTCTGGTATTTAATCATAATAACTGTGACCACTTGGTGGTGGTTGGTTATATGAATTAAAGGCTAACGAAGTCAATTCGCTTAAAGACAAAGACATTCATGAATAAATAAAAAAGTCGACAAAGTACACAGCTTTCTTAGTCAATTATGAGCACTGGACATTTCGGGGAAGAGAGAGAGCAATGTATAGAAAAAATTCATCGCCTGATACCTTGTTAGTTTTATCTTAGTGGAAGGGGTAGTGAGTTAAATGGATATCCAACAAGTGATTTGCATTCGATATTACTTACATTCAACAAGGTGAATACCGAAGCTGGTACAAGGGTACGATCCCTTGAGACAACAAATACGATTCATATTATTATGTAAAAAATAACCCAATGAAAAAGTAAATGAAATTATTAGATACTAAAAATCAAAATGCACAAATATAAACAGAGTTAACTTACTTTCCATTCTTTTTTTAAATCAGAATGCCATCCAATTAATTCTTCACGACTGCGTTCAATATTTTGCAATGCTGTTGATGAATGAAATAAAAACAGGATGATGACTTACCACCACCTCGTCCAGTACGAAAAGATGATGGCATTTTACGATTTGATGTCAAATTTGTAGATTTCACCTCTTCAGAATTACCTTCTTTTGTAACATCTGAAACATTACGTTTAGAAGTTCGATCATTCCTTTTAGGTTGGACTGAAAATATATCATGCCAATTTTCATAGCGTAATGCTTGTACAAGTTGATATAAGTATAAAATAAGTTCCTAAATGGATAGATGGAAGTTCATATTATTGTTTTTACATTCAGGAGAAAACACTACAAAACAATTATGAAATACAAATTCGTAAACCGAGGTTTGATGCCCGTTTGTTGAGTGAAGGTTATCTTCAACGAAGTACATGAAGAAAGATTTTATTCTTCTAACCAGTGTTCGGAAGACATCAAGTTCACTACAACTACGTACCAGGAACACAAAAAATATTGCATATACCGTTTAAGGAGACCTAACACCTGATGACGGATTACTTTAAAAAAAAAAGAAGAACTATGGTCTGCAATGTATACAAAAACCCAAAAAAGATATAAACATAGATATAAGAATAAATCCTAATTGTCAATCAATGTAGTGTGTTTGATGCTATTTCTTTTGTGTAGTATGAACCAGTGGCCTTCGGGCTCATTTTTGACTCTTTAGGTAAGTGAAATCAACTCTTGAAGTTAGGATAGTTCTTTAAGTAAGCTAACATTTCTAAGGAATGTTTAGTTCTAGCAACAATAAAAGCCTTCTTCTATGTTTCGAACCAGTATTAGAATTGGACAATGTTGATTTTACTCAATAACAATAAACTTGAAAAAGACCTGTTGCTTTGATATAGAGACCACATTGTTTAAATTAAAAAGTTATGACGTGTAACAATGTCACAGTAACAGACGTAATATATATGACAAGACTAGACCTCCTAACTTGGAAAGTTTGCAATTTGATAAAGGCTGTAAAAAACATTTGATCCACAGTTTATATATCTCTAATTATTAACTTCCATCGAGTTCAATCATCCTGTAGAGTGAGAATGATAAAAGTATACCAAGGTGACAGTCTTGAGTAAACCAATCAAAATTAAGAGAGCACCTCATAGAGTTTTGCGAGAAGTTGAAAGTGAAAAACAAGATAGCTTAAATGTTATCAATGATCGAGTGAAAATAGGCAATATTTTGTTTCCGAAATGCTTGAAATTGATAAAAATGAATATCTCCTATGCAATCAAACAGTGATATTTAATGTAATAAGACGAAGATTATCAGAACTATGTGATATATTAGCGCAATACATTCCAAACAATCTGACCACACATAAACTTGTTAAGAACATTTAGATATAAATAGTATATGTATGATCAGATTGTTTAAAATGTATTGCGCCAGTATGTCACATAGTTCTGATAATCTTCGTCTTCTTATTACATTATCGAAATTTATCAAAGGGACTAATTGCTTTGAAGTGACATTTAAGCCAAATTACAAGAAATACCTGCTCTGAAGCAGATTCAGTTAATATACTTCAAGTGACTTAATGCATAGTCAAGAGTGTTTGTGCAGCTACATAGTAAACTTCTGACTAAATATCAACCATAAGTTTTCTAGGTTTGTAAAGGAAAAGTTTACAAAGCATTATTGCGCTTATAGCGCAAACTCACAACATTAGCCCGACATATAAAATGTGACTTAATCTACTTTCCTTAATACGAAGAATAATTCAACATGTAATGGTCAATTATTTATATCAAAACTACTATTCCACTGTAATTTTATTAATTATTTTTACAAATAAACATAATTCCCTAATTGGCTGATAAGTCGCTCAAGATCTTCAGTATAATAAACTTTTACTTTAAGATCTAATAAACAAGTTACATACCCATTGATTTGAAAATAAAATCTAGTAGAAAAAGCCTTAGACTAGTTTTCCGATCTCTCGAACTTAATAAGCTGAACCAGTTAGCGGTTCATCGAGTAAGTATCTTAGCTACTGCTTTCTTGTTAAACTCTTATTTATGTTTTCGCTTATTAAACTACAGGGACAAAACGGTTAATATCATTAATAATAAAAATATAGTGATATTTCAGTGGGTAGAAATTTGGACGTCTCGTAACTTGATTCAAGCCAATTCTTCAGAGTGAATGAGTAAACGACTAGATTAAATATTTAGTTCAATATAAATCTAAATCAAAATAGGTCTGGTTATGTCAGTGTCCATTGAATCATCGGTCAATGTGATTCCGTGTGAGACGCATCACCGGGTATGTTTGTGAATATGCTGATGGATACGAAAAATGTACAATTTGTAAGGTGGAGGCGTATAATTGAAATTTGTGTGTTCATTATGTGAAAAATGATTGGAGTCAAATGCGATCGGTGAATAAATGATTCAAGTTCCTTCCTATTTAAGTTTGAGAAATTGAGCACTGTATGAAACGTCTGCCACTCGCCTTTCTTTTTTTGTTGAAAAAACTTTGAATTGCTTTGATATTTTTAAAGCAATTAGTCCCTTTTATAAATTTCGATAGAACAATGAGAAGACGGACTTGATCTGAAAAATGTGATGTATTTGCGCTATACATTTCGAACAATCTGGTCACACATATACTTGTCAAGGCATTTTTATATGAAAATAATAAAGGTCAAACAAATAGAAGTTCAATTAAAAATAACTAAGGGGAGAGAAAGGATAAGAAATTGTCGCGTTATCCTAGGCCATAGAATGACTTAAGGATTACCAAGGTAAATTCAAGGTTACGACAAATTGTTTTTGTACACATAAGGGGGGTTTAAATGTACGAATAGCCAAGGCTTCAATAAACTTAAGAATTCGTCCTTGATAATTTCTATACAACGTTCTAAATGCTGTATTAATGTCAATTTTGTGCCCCGTCTCAATCATATGTTTCGCTATCGATGAACTTGGTTTTCTACCTCCTACATTGATCGGACCATTTGACACATGATATTTTTGTTAACGATCTGGTTGTTAGTAAACATAGCATTTACTTCTATTACCCATATAACTAGTAAATTTCTCCAGTAAAGCAAGCTAAATCCAGAATTAAAGACGAATAAGTAGTAACTACAGTAATCTATTCAGATTACATGGGGACACCTTGAAGAGCTTGAAGGAATATCTATTAATAATGGCAAGACGAACATAGCTTATAGTGACAAAATCAGCATTTACTAACATTCAAGCAAACCGAACTGAAAGATTCAACAACAGAACCCTCTATCTACAACAAGTCATCAACACTGTAACATTGCTAAATAAATAATTACAGTTCTAATACGAATATTTGAATGATAAAGAAGTCTTCAACAGTTTAAAGAAACAATAGTTACATACCTCATCACTGGCAGCTTCCAAACGATGTACAGCAAATCTTCTACCGGCAGGATGAAGAAATTGACGAGTGAACAGTTCTAGGACATGTTCAGGCGCTATTTTTGGCCATTGTTTTAACAATTCAACAGCTTGATTCACTTGTTCTGTATATTCCCAACGAACAGATAAAATGAATTTCGCTAAAGAAGTCTGTAGAAGATATAAAAAGGATAAACAGTCCGACTGGTTTGAGTAGGGCTAGTGCACAGAGAATCCTAATGCAAAATTTTAATCTAACTCTCTCCTAATATATTTAAGTATACCCTTGCTAAATATCATCTGACCATATTTGTATATTATGGTTTCCAAGCCTACTTACAGTTCGTTCCACTGGTATTCTTTATATAATAACTCTTCTCTTTAATGAGTAATTGACATCATTTTTAACTGCGTTTCTATTGCATCTGTGACTTACTTTATGATTGGTTGTTCTGATATTTTACAAATGACCAAGACTAATGAAGCTTAGCCATTTAATCTCTAACTGAACCTTCAGTTGTCAGCAACCAACACGCCAGGACAATCAACTAAGACAACTAGTACATTTCCTTTTTTTAAACCAAGTGATAGAGATAACACTCATTGCAAAATATTATATCTATTTGATTTTAAGTGCAAATATTCTCAAACTTTTAGTTAACGTATTCAGAGAATTCTGTTTTATCGGCATTCTTGTATGGCACGATTATGGACTTGCAATAAACGACAACTCTCTACAGACTAAATATGGATGAATAAATTCGAATACAACATTGGGCAATATTGTATACCGTTTTTTAGCAAGATTCGATCACTGCACTTTTCAATCGAAGGGAATTTAAAGCGAAATTCAAAATCAGAATTTAATATAGTTTCTCATAATATTTTGATTTTCACAAGTATGACTAAAGAGATTAACACGTAAACTGTTAAACCAATTGCTACCTTCTTATTTGAATTGTATTATGACACGAATATAAAAATATAGAAACGTTTAGTTAGTAAACTAAATACCAGTATCTGAAGTTAGAAATTTTAAAAATCGGGTTTTTATCCACAGTTTCAATGGTAAAACAATACGGCAGCCGCCCTTTCAAACAGTAGGACCATCTGGTTTTCAACTGTACAAATACAGGAGTAAACATTCCAATTTTAGATTTGTTTTCACTGATCAATTATGAATGCTAACCGAATCCATCCATAGGATTTTATGAAGTTCTTATCTACTTTATTTAAATACAAATATTATTACAAAGCGGAACCAGAATAAATATGCCCCACAACAATAAGATGAGGCTGCGAAGAGATTCAAAAATGAAGGTGAGTAGCATAAAACAAACAAAAGCCAAATAAAAAATAAACGAGAGCAGTAAATAATGGGAGAAGCAGTTCAGTTAAGAAACATATAACAAGAAAGGATTCTTTCAGATACAGAATTTCCATCTATAAGACTCCAATTAAGGAGTCGTGAAGGACCGACAGATTCCAATCCAGCGGTTTTTTTCATACCACGATACCATGTCATACACTGACAACTACACCTCTTTTTCCAATCAGTTTCTGCGTCAGTAAATAATACAAGATGTGGAATTGATTGAGACGATATTTGTAGTACATATCCAAGTCACTGAAGTCAGTGTTTCATGATTGGCACCAGATGAATTACTGTCATTGTGCAAGAACACACACTGACGAATCTCTAAATCACTAACATGATGTTGCCGTTGGATGTCAGTAATCCTTTGGAGACAACGATGATTAAACACAGAGTCATCTAACATTCTCAAATTGAAGAAGTCAGGTCTCACAAGTATAGAGCAAAACTCCGCTCACCAACGCGTTGTAGATCCGACATTTTACACCCAGACTAACATCACGAAAGCGCCAAAGATGGCCCACATTTGCATAAGCTACTCTGGCTTTCACCATACGTGAATTGGTCTCATCACTCACGTCACCACCAGCACTTACGCATTTACCCAGATACAAGAACTTCCCAACTAGTCCTATCTGTTAAGTACCTAGGTTGAGTACAGATTCAGGGTTATCCCAGTCTTGTAGAAGTACTTTACACTTAGGAGGTTGAAAACACATGCCATACCTACCAACACTGATTCTCAATTGATTAAGCGCGAAATGCATGGCTTGGGTAGTATCGCACAGTAAAACAAAATCATCCGCAAATTCAAGGACAAAAACACTTCCTCCTGACAAAAGATCTATATTACCAATACCTGTTTCCAGCTGCAAGTTCTTAAAAATTACTGTGCTACTAATTATTGGAAAAATTACTCAAAATTACTACGGTAATTTGTATATTTTCCTCCTACTTCATACTTTGAAGGATCGAAGGGTAATTACATTGGGATTCATACGCCTATTATATGATGGGTAAATATAATAGCTGTAATAGATTATTTCAACCACTAATCAACTATTTTTAAGAAAAAAACGTTTCCGATTAAAGATAAATTCCAGTAATCAATTATTGCAAAACATTTATGAAATATATATTTTCGAGTAATTACAATTTACATTAACGATAAATTTGTCGTAATACTGCATCATTCCCCAGTCAGAAAATTTATGATATTGAATAAAGCAATTATTATCATGATCACTCTTCAATATGCCGATTTGAATTGCAGCATTGATCCAGTAATCTACAGAGCTGAGTCATTGCTTCCTAGTTTACAGTAAGCATTTGATTTAACATTCGTTTACATGACCCAGCTTCAAGCATAGAGTAAGGTCTAAAATCCAACACTTAAAATGTAAAATGTTTTATTAAAAATAGGTAACAATAAATCTTACTTCAGGGAATTTGTCAGCTAGATAAAATCGATACTTCCAGATAAGATCCCCATCTGATTCGGATATATTTAATCCTGGTGGTAAATCAAGAACAAGCTTAATGAATGAAAGAAAAATTAATTAAGAGTTTATAGTGATAGATCTAGTTCAGCAATTACATGAAAACTAAATTAATTGAACTATGAACACAAATAAATTGAATTAATTAATCAGTGACTAAAATTGGTTGATAATCAAAACGTTTGAAGTGAAGAGTATTTTAAGATCACATAACTTCGTATCATGTTTCGAATTTCTCGTGGCACGGGCTGATTTAAATTGCGAGCACTTGCGACTTTGTATCTTCCACCGTCAATTTTAAAAATCTAAAGGACAAACCTTAAATGCAACGTTTAGGCGTAGCAACCAAAATAAAAGAAATTGAGTTGGGATAGCAACTATTGAGTATAATACATCAACGATATTATTTAAATTAGGGTGAAATAGAACGTGTTAAAAGAACCAATAAACTAAACATCAAAAGACAGTTGTGATGGCGGAAAAAAAGGAGCGATGCCTAGGGTGAAGTAGTTTCAAACCCTAGATTCATGTATTCAAAGGGATAATTAATATGATAGTAAGTGAAATAAGCCATCTTCAGTCAATAAACAATCTCTAACAATATTTTACAGCTTAGTCTATACTAAATTATCTTTATCAATTGAGATGAAGATATAATATTGTTATTATTATTTAACAGTAGTAGAATTTCCATCTAAACACTAAAAGCACGAAGTTTAGAGAAGAGGTCTCTTTTCCGAGAATTTATTATTAAGCTGTACAATCCACAGCTATAAAAAGAATGTTCTATGCAGCAAATCTGAGACTAATGTTCACAAACAGAAATTTATTTTCAGTATTCGTAAACGATAAGCTCTCTTAGTCTAGTCATCTCTACGTGGATCTGTCAGTTCGCCTGCTCTTGTAGAGTAAGGTACATAGGCAGTAGTCAGAGCTTGCTTTCAACTCAGATACGAGAACATGTTCCAGTATGGTTTTACAAAGGTGACGGGAAAACTTTCAATTCCATTCTAAAACATGTAATTCATTCTAACCATTCCACTGATTCACAGGTTGACTTTAAGGTTGTTTATAGAATTCATCCAAATCTACCAAGATTTCTTCGTATTCAATCCCTAGAAAAGGGGAAAGCTATCATCATCCATGAGATGAAGTGTGTATATACAAAAGTACGTCTTATTGTTGTGTCTTTACCATGAACTTCAACTGTTATTTTTACTTTATTTTCATTTTATTGATTTCATATTTGAAAATCTCTCTCTTTCTTTAATTATTTCTTGTATCCCCATGATTTTACTCATAACTGTTTCTGATATCACTTCATCTCATTTAACCCCTCTAAGACCCTTGATTATTATGACAAGAAAACATTTTAATTATTTTATTCTATTCACATTATAAATAAATGTTAACGTATTCATTCTACACGGCTTTTTATTTGCACATAGACATTCTTTTATTGTTATTATTTACACTATATAATCTAGTTTTACAATCATTATGTTTATTCATTATTCACATGTCTTTACTAAATTAATGCTTTTTAAAAAATCTCACGTACTGTACAGCTTGATAATAAATTCGTTGAGAAAAGACCTCTTTGCTGAACTTCGTGTTTTAAATAATATTTAGTAAATTCTGTATATGTCAATATTATTAGAGATTTACGAAACAAAATATTCTTACAGTTAATTATGATTTACTAAAATCACTCAACACCAAGAACGATCTTATTAAATTGTAAATTGTGATACCGCTTAATCTACTTACATTAGAGAAGCTGAGAAGTATCTATAGTATGTGTATTCTAAAGTCTAGTACATAAATAGTAGCCTGATTTATTAGCAGTTATTTAAGAATGAAAACTTGACAGATTTGAATTAATTACTTGCACCGCTTACTACAACCTCTACAACAAAAATGAAAAACAAATTTAATCAAGCATTTAACCGCTGATACTCATGCTATGTTAATCAAGAAATACAATAAGAAGTGATAAACAAATAAATAATAAGATGAATAAACTGACTTTCAATCTATCTAATATGTCTTTATTAGGTTTACGTGCACGATCCACGTCAGCTGTACGAGCATTACGTGTCATTTTAAAATACTTTTCATCTACTGGATTCCACTAGAGGAAAAAAAGGGAAAATTGTTTCTGACATAATTAACAATAATTCACAACAAATGATAAAACATAATATAAATAACACATAAAAGAATGAAAATAATCATATGTCAGTGTTTTCATAAAATATTAGTCCAAGTAATCTCATACTTTGTATGGAATTAAGGAGTATTAAAAGTCTAATAAGGCCCTATCAGATAAAATAATTCCCAGTCATACAGTCTCAGTCACATCATAAGATCGGTTGGCTAAGGGATGCACTAAACTGTCAAGTTAATTAGACTAAGTACCTAGCTTAAAACACTAACTGCTAACTGACCACTAAGTTATTTCAATGACTTAGCCAGTTCTTAAATTATTCACAAGCTGAGTTTTTCAAGAATTGCGTTCACTACGTCGGATCATTTAATCGCAAAGCTCTGATTGAATTTCTAGGCAATATCACTAATACAAACCTAATAAATGAATTGATGTCCTAGTATTTCTCTACAAATAATTAACAGATTATTCGGTTGATAAGATATAAGATTGCTTGTAACGAGTAATTGTGATATCACTGTTTCGACATACTATTTAATTACCATTTTTCCCAGGTATACCCCTAACTTCTTATTTGATTATCATTCTTCTAATCGACAGATAAATTGAGTTTATTTAAATATATTTAGAATTGCACTGAACGCTACTCGCAACGTTGCTTGCAAGTAGTATATTACGGAACATGGTCTCGAAGTTGTCGGACGGAATGAAGAGTTTTAGGACAGAGAAAGCATGACGTTGGAAGACCAGACGAGAAGAATGTTCAGAATTCAAAACATACTAAAAGACGCGAATGGACGATCCAAGGCAATGTGTAGGTATTATGTAAATGCTATGTAATTTCGCCCAATAAGTATAGATTCTTTCAGCCTATGGTCATTTTTCACATTAGATGCTGAATGGCTTAGACGTTTAGTTTTAGGAGACTCTCCAGTCTATTTTATATTGCTTCTATTTACAATTTGCAGTGACATTTCAGTGTCCATAATCACCTATGCGCTATAATATGACCGAAAATATCTTGCGACGTTTATTGTTAATGCAAATTTATGTAAACGGGGAGGCTACTCTGTCTGTTACTTTTGCTTAGAATTGTAGATGACATTCAGTTTTCTCTATAAGTATTTCAGTTAGGACACCGGATAGGTCTATGACAGAAAATTGTCACGAAAATTAAGGAAATACATATGAACAACATAAGTATAAGACAAAGTGTAGTTCCGATTAGTATGAATAGTAGTAGAAATAGTACCTCCCATAAAAATTTAAAGTGGTCGGCTACCATTCACTTAGGAAATACAGGCAGCTTATCATTTCAGTATTTACCACGAAGCTAGTAAGATAAACAACTGATCAGCTTCTGTGAATAACGAACCAACAATTAGTCCATGTCCAAGGCTGTAAGTCACATTTATTTCACGAAAAAAAATTTTGTTTAACAATTATTTTTTATGAATGATGTGATTTTATCATAAAGCCATGATTAATTAACAAAAGTGTCTTGAATAAAGAAATATAAGCAGACAACAACTCACTCGATCAGCTCGTAATTCTGACTGTTCAGGTAGAAACTACAGAAGAAAAGAATGAAACAGCTATGACAATGTGAAAGAAAATTCTTCGGGATACAAGGTCATAATAACTGATTCCAATATTATGTAGCTACGTGTTACAATGGTTTAACTAATTTTGGAAAAAAATACATAAAATTATTGCAGTGTAGTGTAGTATGGGCTTTACAACTTAGAACACAAATGTAGTGGACGAAATGGAATTATTCGAACAATTTGACGAAAATCTGATGATCTGCGTATGTCTTGCAATTAGCATATATATGTTAACGCTCCATTTCTATTCTATTTTAACAATTAACCAGATAGCAGAATATGAAATAGTTTATTTTTACTAATTATATGAATGTAATCCAGTTGTTTATCGAAAGTAGGCAACATTAGAAAACTACATAAACCTAATTCCTTCAAAATAATAATATTTTGTGATGGATTTATGTAAGGGTATTGATCAAAGTAGATTACGTTATGGAATTTCACTAACAGTCGATAGGGATATCATAAGACATAAGGGAGAAATTGTTATCATTGAAACATTCACAAATTTTATTATTATAAAATTTGAATGAATTTCTATTCTATATTTGTTGAATGATACTTGTGGTTTATTCCACTTTTTTTCAGATTTTTCTCATTATACAAGATAACAGCTAAGCAAGTCATGCAGCGATTTTGATTCGCAAGACTGCACATTTAATTAGTTTATGAAAATGTTAAGCTCGTAACCATAGAAATAACAATGAACAAATATGTGAGAGTCTAAAATGTTGTGGAATACATATGGCATTCACTACCCGATATTATAATCATTTACAGAACTATTAATTACTTTTGGGGTTTATGGTATTTTATGTAAAGCAGGCATGTAAGCTATGAATCAATATTTAGACGCCAAATCCTTTGACGACTGAGCCAGAACATTTTCAGTGAAGATGTAATCACCTTTTCAGATCATTCCACATAACGAATACCTTAGACGTCTCTTCCTTGATTTGTTTTAACAATTTTATTTACACAAAATTTTAAAAAACACAGTAAAAACTTACTGGACGCTGAAATATTACAGGCATATACACAGATGGATAGCTTCGTGAAAACTCAAATTTTACACTAAGGAATAAACGTCCACTAGCTCGTTTCGCCTCATCAACCGCATGTTCCACATCTGGCATACAATGTCGATCTAATGGTGTTTCTAACAATTCATTACGAAGGTGTTTACGATTCGTCTAATAGAATAGTATGTGTAAAGAAAACCATTAGAAATGTACATAAACACTTACGAGGAAGAGATCAATTAGGATTGAAATCATTTTCTTCGAACTTCCGTCAAAACTTTCAATAACATTTTTTTAGTTCAATACCCTAGTAAACACCAATGAAAACTGATTGTCTGATTATAAATATCTGAATGATTTTCTGTGTAGCAGTGATCGTAATTTATGCAACAATATAAGCGATGTTATCGAATTCATTAGAAGCAAAGCCAATGATGATAGTGAAGCAGATTTAGCTATAGTTTGGAGAGGTCTTTTAGTGGTTAAAGCGTCTAACATTCAAACACTAAGTCTCAAGTCCTAATCTTGCTCCAATTACTTCTATTTGGCAACTATGTAGTATCACTAGCTTTTACACAGAGTGAGAGTCAAAGCCGAGGAAACTGATCTGTACCTGATAAACAATTTAAATATATTAGTGATTAGTTTTCCCCACTTACTATTCGTACTATCTTATATGTTCCTTTCATTTACAGTGTTTTTATAATCCTTCTTCGTGCTCACATCTTCTAAAACTTAAGTCACGGATAAATAATAAATGGGATGCAAAATAATGACGACATATGTGTCCGTGTATCCATTGGAAGCAGACTGATGAAACTACCCAGGTTTCTAAGCCTCAATAAGCGAAGGATTCAAATCACTGGTTGAAAACCGACCACCTATAGTGAAGGACCATAGTGTAATAATTAAGTAAATCTGCGACTGAAAATCTGGGCCTTAGAGTTTGTAATAAGTATACTACCCTACTCCCTACTCCAAACATACGTGACGCATAAAATTCTAAACAAACTTAAACACTCATCAGATCGACTAAGAAAAATTCAACAAAAATGATCAAAACTTTGGAATACAAAAGAAAATGATTTTCTTTCTGAAATGTCCTTATCAAAATCAAATTAAGCTAAAGAGCAACGAAAACTTTGGAAGCCAAAAAGCCCTTGAATACTAACAGAAATTGTTTAGCTATAGAGTACCACTTGCGGTTTAGACAACTGAATATTTATCACTAAGCCATAGGTTCGAACTCCAACTTGTTCATTCATCATTCACCAAGTACATGCTTGTGTACATGGCTTTGAGCTACACTTGGTGTGTGAGAGTTAGCAATACTAACATATTGTTTAAACTACGGAAGCCAGAGTGGGCTTCGAAACCGTGATTTATTAGTCGGAAGCCAAGTGTTTTCACAACTGTCAGCGTTCTCCGAACTCTCATTCAATCTATTTCAAACCAAGAAGTCAGGTAACACTATCAAATCTCATTGCATCCAATAAAACAGAATATGAAAGTACTTATAGATACTTTGTTTTTATTGTCATAGTAAAAGATGAGAAAACTCAATTAAAAATGTCACTTTTATCACAAACCTTAAGGATTTGGTTCATGGTATCCATATTCGAAGGTTTTGAGTCAAAAGTAGGTTCCCTTACTAATTTTTCAACATCCTCTAGTCGATAAACACCTAACGGTTCCAAAGGATGTAATTCAAGTTCGTAAATTCCTTGTCGAAATACTCTGAAAATTATTTAAATGTTTAATATATATATATATATATATATATATATATATATATATATATATATATATATTCATTTGTTTTTGTGAATTTTTCCAAGTAAACGATATAAAGTATGGCTATATAACAGCACTTATGATTCTTATGTTAGATATCTAATTTAGAAAAATCTACAATACTGGTAGGTTATGAGGCATATTTACTAGATATCATAACTAGATAGTAGAACGGTCGGTTGATTAAAGGAAAACAACTACATCTTGCTTCCATTACTTCGGTTTGGGCAGCTGGGTACTATTAATGATCTTCACACAAATTGTGTCTTGAAGTCGCATACACAAGTATGTAATTGATAACTAGGTTATATCTAATTAGCCAATTAATTAACAATTAAATCAGAATAGTGGGATTAAAATCTCTCACTTGTGAAATCAGATATCAACGTCTAAAAAATTAAAACATACCTAAACACAACCGATTGCATGGATATATAAGGAGTGATTTCTGATATAGGAATCGGTGTTATGGTTAAGTGTTGACGGACCATACAGTAAGTGTTCGCATTATAGGTCGAGAAAGAAGCATAATTATTGGGACTGTTTTGCATAATGACCACCGAGGAGATACAAACACCTAACTCGATAGTGAGGGATACCTTTAGCACTCAATTTTCGAATTCCTTGTTTTGGTGATTAGATTGGATCCACCGAACAAGCAGTATTAAGACTGAGATCAATAACTTAGTCACAGTGCAATAATCCTTACTCACCTTAATCATAAAAACTTGATCAAATTTACAATCGTACAGCGAACTAATATGACAGACCGATTTTATTTATTTGAGCACATAAAAATCGGTAAAAAGGAGCACCAAATACATATGAGTTACACAATAACAATGAGGTTGTGAAGAGATAGAATGTAAAGTGCGCATAATAAAAATAACGAACAGAAGTTAGTGTATGAGAATGAAGTAATAATAATTGTGGGAGAAACAGTTCGGTTAAGAAAAATACAACCAGAAATTCTTTCAGTTAAAGAAGCTACTTTAACTTTTATGAGGAAAGCAAGAGAAAGTTACAGCAGGATCGCCAGTGGCTTCTATTCTGAGCCATGTCTCATAACGCCTCAAGCCGCTTTGTTGCTCCATCTCTAGGAGCCCAACTAGGGAGTCGTGCAAGATGAACAGATATCAGTCATGTACAGCTTTCTTTCATACCACGACACCTTGTCATACACTGACCACCTCTCCACTTTTTCCAACCAGTCGTCAAATAATGCACGACGTGGAATTTTCTGGGACGACATTCTTAAGACATGTCCAACCCACCAAAATCAGTGTTACAAGTTGACGTTTCAATATAGTGACACCGAACGTTTACATTACAAACATGATGTTGCAGTTCAGTCATACCAGAGTCAGACACGGGTACAAAAATAGTAAGATTTGCTTATATATTTTAGTCCACATTATACGGTGATTGTAGGTAAATGGTAGTTGCTATTAACTTACTTTTTAGAATTATATAATTTCATGTTTGCACCAGCTATTAACTGTTCATGCATACCTTTTTTATCCGTATACGTAGATGACAGAACAAAACAAATTCCATTATAGTCGTACAAGGCATTATATGGTAAGGGTAAATCAAAGGCTTCATTAAATCTAGAAAACAAATCTACACTTGTATCGTTTGTCATACAATTGTCTGTCAAGATTAACTTGTGTTTGAGACCAATTTGTAATAAATGAATTTGATAGGAAAGGGATATCACGTGTGATACAATAATTAATTCGTAATTCACCATAACATGCGAGTGGTGTATATTCACCCTTGATGACTTTATACCGTTCAGGATCGAATCCAGTGATGCTCATTCTATAAATCGTTTGATTAATGACAGAAGGGTTAGTTTACATCTTAATACATGGATAAATAAGAGCTTGTTGTCGATCGTCTGTAGAAGCTGACCCAGATGTTGCCGTCGCTACCACATTACATGAAGGATAATAACCCAATGATAGTGATCCCATAGGACGTGAGACACTAAAAATCTGAAATTATAGTTAATAATCATTAGTGTGCACAAAGAACTAAAGTAATTTGTTTATAAAAGTGAGTAACAATTCATGATTTAAATTTTCGAATAAATTATGTTTGGGTAGTATTATAAATCAAAGTGCAACAATGAAAATTATAACCGAACTCGATGTGTATTGATAAACCTTTATAGAATTCTTAAGTTTGCACAGTCCAACTTATTGGATTAGTAATTGATCACAAAAAAACTCGAAATTACGAGTTTTGTGTTAAAATAAGTGTTATTAAGTCTTACTGTCTATTTCGTAATACGACTTTGATAAAACAATACATGCAACCAAAATCGAAGTATGAAACCATCGTGAGCGCGACAAACAGAACCCTGAAACTTCCAAATGAAGTAGTTAGGAGAATTGGAGAAGAATCCTATTATTTTTACCTTACAATAGGGCATTTAATGCAACCATGAAGAGTCTGCTAACCTCCGAGATTTATTGCAGAAGTATGGTCACATTTTCTGAAGGATTTGGTTGCTACTAAAACACAGAATACAAAACGAAAACCCATTTTCATAGAGTGAAGCACGTATGTCGAAACAGGTTATGTAATTAGGATTTTCTGCCCTTTTTCTCAGAACCCTCTAACCTGTTTTATTTTGCTGTTAGTTCAGAAATGAACTCATGAACATTCAACATTTTTAATCACCATTTATAAATGAATATCTTATGTTTTCATTCATCAAGAATATACAAACTATGAGGACACATTTAAAACATAAACCACACGATACGCCTAAATGGTTTAAAGGTTAAACGCTCGCCACGACGGTCCTGAGTCTGATCCCATTTTGGATGGCGGTGCGAACTGTTGTGGAGTCCCGCGCTAGATGAAACAGTTGTCTAGTACTTCCTGACTTTTAGTGATGCGAACTGGGAAAGATGAAATTCCTAACGTCCATGAATTCGCTTAGGTGGTGGAAAAGTGAGTCACTGAAAATCTATGGTGTAACAATTGCAACTTCAAATGAAGGGAGTGACGAGTTTCACGCAGTGTTAATTCAGTTTTAATTGCACTTTTCGAACCAAAACCCACACATTATACTTTAGCTGTAGGCATCTTAGCCGAAGTTTATTTATTTTTCTTGCACAAATGTTTACATTTTGATTTTTATAACTTTTTAAGGTTTAGTTTTCACATAAATGACTCCGACAAACCCCCAATGTGATAAGGGTGTTTGCTACCTTTTGACTGAAAATTGATGATCTAATAACTGCAACAAGTGAGATCATAAAATGTGTATTGGCCTAACCTCCTGCTGCCTTTAGACTGAGTAGCAGGCATCGACCTCTCTAGATGTGCAAAGTGTGCTGCTCTACAGAATTCCTCGTGATACAGGAAGCTATAGAGCTGTTGAACATCAGGTGGAAAATTCCTAAGGAAAAAGTGAACACAGAACAGCTAATGAATGTCTGTGATGTTATGTCACCGTTGACCCATTTCGGAACTTTATAAGACTACTAAGGCGAAACAGCAAATCCCAACTCAATGATGCACGATGGACTTGAAGGAATAAAAATGAATGCCGGGAAACATGTCATAATACTAGTGACATAAGTAGGGAGCATAAGTTAGGGGTCCCTGATACCAAACTGCAAGCTCACAGAAACCCACATTGAAATTTGACCAGAACGAGTAGAAGACTATTCAGAGAAACCCCAACTACATTGAAATTGATGTGCTATCCTGTAAAGTGGTGATCAAAGATGTGGCTCAACCATCTATCTCCATACCGATCAACAAAGATGAAAATAGTTCAAACAAAGTAAATAAGGAGCTTACTCGGCTCTAACAGGTTATTTGTCAACCATAAACTGGACGGTTTTAATACTCTAAAGACGTTTAAGCTACAAAAAACTAAAAAGGGATTAAGTGTATAAGGACTACTCATAAAACATCCCTTCATACAAATTTTATTCTGTTACTTTATTATAATTTATATTATAAGCCCTTTACATTACACCTGGTTAGTTGAGAACATTAATTGTAAATTAAACTGGGTTCCCTTTTAAAAAAACTTAAGTCAACACGCTAGATAATAATCAAGGACATATGAAGTTATATGCTATGCTTTTGATTTTTTTTGCTCTTGTAGATTCTGAAATGAATCCAATAAATGGACTCGAATTACGTAACTGTATGATTGATTTCATCCCAATGTCAAATCACATCTACCTACCAAGAAAATACTAAACCCTAACACTTGATCTATTGCCTGTCCTCAATGAGAACCGAAAGATTGTCAGTCAGTCAGTCAGCTACAATGTAGGACCAGGCACATATGCATCGGTCCAAGTTGCCACACCTCATTAGCACAACAAGATGAACACCGAATTCATAGGAGTGGTTAGGTCAAAGGTGGTAATATATAGGAGAAAGATTGCATATAAGGATACAGTACAGGAAGAAAGGATTAATTCATAGAAAGAAAGATATGGAGCGATTTTAATCTCATAGTTTAAGGGAAGATAGAGTGTATACACCGACACCATTGTGATCGATTCTGAGCCATGTCACCAAGAGTCTCCAACCATTGGTTACGATGGTCACGCAGACCCCAACCGAGTAGACTGCATCTACCACCATGGCTCAGATCAGAAGCTAGTGTCTTCAAGCACTGATGCCACGTTTTGGTTTGGCCGCCCCTAACTTTTTTCCAACCATCCCCTACACTAGTCATCATTGCGCGTCGTGGTAATCGGTGTTCGGGCATACGTAAAACGTGGCCTAACTATCTCAGTCGGTGAAGATTCACAACCTCATCGACTGATTTACCACCAATTCCTAATGCCCTGTGTCTAACCTTACTGTTACTTTGCCGGTGATCCCAGCAGACACGAGCAATATTTCCAAGATATCTGTGGTCGAACAGAAAGATACCTTGAATATAATCAATATACATGAATGATGCAACAATACGACTGGACACCAGCATTAATGTTAAGGATGCTTCCTTAGACTTAATTCCCTCTTAAAAATAAAATGCAAAATACAGCCAATGAACTACAGACTTAAACACTAACATCAGCGACCTCTTCTAACACTCAGATTCCTTAATAACCAAGCTACTCTTGCGGACAATAGGTGTCGAAGTTCATATACTTATTATAACAGGACAAATAGTGAATTCCAGAAACCTAAAGTCAACAATTTCTCCAAAGGTAGCATTTGCTTTGATTCCCAAGCAAGAGTAACTGTAAGATGGTCAGCACAGACCTCGTACATCCAGAATAGTGTAGGAATAAACTCCAGTCTCGTTCGCAATTTCGACATTGCGTTTGGCAACTAACCGAAATGAAGCAGGAATTATTATTTATTTAATAGTTGAATTCATGAGTCAATTGAAGCTAGACCACCATGGACAACGTGGAAGCACTTGACGACCGTTGCGTCCTAGTATGAAACTCCTCAGCAGTGCGTATACACGACCCCGATTCGCGAGATTCGAATCCAGGACCTATCAGTCCCACGGGCGAGCGCTTAACCACTAGACCACTGAGCCGGTATGCAACGGTGTTATTGTCTAACTTCAAGCAATCCACGAAGTTAGACTTCCAAGTTGGTGGTAGTACATTGAAAGTATAAATGTAAAGCCAATTTAAATCCCAGCAAAGTGAAGAAAGGGCTCAGCAGTACCCAAGATCAGTTTTGTTATTAGGACTTCATTAAATCGTTGACCATAAGCTAGATTTGGCAAATAAGACTGCAGACAAGAATTATCGGCGTACAGATTGCTTAAGCAACTTTTCAAATTGCTGAAGATCAAACTCAAAGTCATTCTGACAAGCGGAATGAACACGACAATTTTTACACAACATAACCCTAATCTCCCAATTTGGGGGAAAAATTTATCCGTCTAGGGGATATATATATATATTACATCCGTGAAATATATGAGTATTTTAGATCATTCCCTGAACGCCAGAAAAGGTGAAAATATGTCGTTTTTTACCTTCAACTACCAGAAGTTCGAACTTACAAGACAACTCAATATCAACAACTCATAGTCAGAAAAGTAATTTTTATTTATTGACACTTATAGCTATTATGCAAACCGTTAATGGCGGCCGATAAGCACACGAAATGTATTACTTTATCACATGAAGACAAGTCAAATGCGAATAATTCACTATAGAAAACTGATTAATAACCTGGAAAGACAATATGCAACACTAAGAAACGCAAAGACTTGGAAAACCCGCCTCGCCTTCAATGTGTTGGTTAATTAGTTTGTGTTCATCCTGCAACTTTTTTTCTGTGACATTCAAGTACCCTTAAAAGTAGTTTCTGGAACTAGTGAAGTTTGTTTGGATAGAGCGTTATTGTTACTGATCACCGGATGGGAAAGACGCAATATCACTAATTTGATCGGGGTTTTCGAACCTTCTTAAGTTAAGTTTTCAAAAAAGTCTCAAGTGGCCCATGTTATCAAGTGACTTGCTATATATATATATATATATATATATATATATAGTGGTGAGTACAATCATTCAATATTCCGCAACTTATCAGGTTTAATGTTTATAAGTAACTGAAAAAGAGTTGCTCTAACCATTAGTTTTACAGTCGAAATCGCTGTAGCCTGGTATCTGACTCCGCTTTGAACGTACAAACATGCTGTGAACATAAATCTTTCATTTATAACTCGACATATTACCTAGGACAACGCAGTTCATGTGGTTGTTGTAATCAGAAGACAAACATGGGTTGGGAGGCACTCGTTAATCAAGACAGACATTCGGAACAAGAAATCGGAAAGAAGAAGACAAGTGATTCAACTGCGGTATTTGTATGAACTAGTGATTCGTTTGTACTTGATTACCCGTCTATTTAGATCTCTAAATAAAATTCGTTCGTTTGTGCTCATCTAAGATAATCTGGCTTAAATTGTGCTATTTAAGGAGTTCGTAGTTAGATTAATCTAAATACTTCTAATTATCGTACCAACTCTAATTCATCAAACGTGACATACAAAAATACACTATAGACACGGGATGAGTAGAATAAGCAATGCACACAAACGCTAATATAAAAACAGTCAAGGTCATTCAGTTAATTAACACGTTCAAATGTGACTCAGTCTTCAGTAATAAGGATAGGAGGTCTATTGACCTATATTAATTCTTGCAGTTTGTCATTCTGTGATGGTCCAACCTCGTTTTGAATATATCAACAAAAGGTGCTGATATTACGTGTTCCGGTAGAGAATTCCAGTAATTCTCTACTCGGTGCGAGAAACGAAACTCCTGACGTAAAGGATTTGATCTCGGTTTTTGAACTTTCTTCGAATGTTCTCTCAAATGGTCAGTCCTAGACGGAAGTAAAAGATAAGACATGTTAATACCAAGGTCATCGTTCAGGATACGATAAGCCAATATTATATCACCCCGTATTCCACGGTAAGATAACGGAAATAAGTTGAGGTGTCTTGGTCTGTCTTCGTAAGATAGGCCAGGTAAACCTTGTACCTTCTTAGTATCTCCTCGCTGGACTCTTTCGAGCATATCCACTTCATACTTGAAACAAGGACTCGCTGTTTGAATCCCATATTCTAAATGAGGTCGCACATAAATCGGGTACAACAGTCTAAACATCTCATCATCTAAATACTGGAAAGACCTACGAATAGACGATAATACCCTATAGCCTTTCGCAACAGCAGACTAACAGTGACTAGTGGTTTTGAGATCACTGCTTAATATGACTCCTAAATTTTTATAGTTTCTTACTTTGTGTAGCACGAATCCATATATTGTATAGTGATACGATTCATCATAGTTATTTATTTGCATCACTACACTCTTATTAGTATTTACTTCTAGTGACCACCTGTTCAACCATGCCACCAATGAGTCAAGATCATTCTCTAATACTGTCCCTTCCGATATACTGTGTATGAGTCTCCGAATTTTTATGTTACCAGCGAAGAGTAGAACGGATGATTTTGCTCCAGTTGGTAATTCATTTACATAAATTAAAAAGAGAAGAGGACCGAGGGTTGTACCTTGAGGAATCCCACTTTTTACGAGTACCCACGAGGAGAGAGCACCATTTACCATTACCCTTTGTTTCCTGTCATGGAGAAAGTTACTTATCCACTCCACGACTGTTTAATGGATTCCAAAACGTTCCAGTTTGAATTTAAAACCAGAATGGGAGACCTTATCGAAGGCTTTACTTAGGTCTATGAAGATCACATCCACAGGAACATTTCGATCTTTTGCGGCAGCCCAATCTTCTCTTGCAATGAGAAGATTTGTCAAGCATGATAGGTCTATCCGAAAACCATGTTGTTCCCTGGAGAAAAGATTATGCCCTTCAACATAGTTTATAACAGATATCCGAATAATTTCTTCTATCAGTTTCACAACCGCACTAGTCAAGCTAACGGGTCTATAGTTACTAACTAAATCCCTACTCTCAACCTTATACACCGAAATTATTATAGCGTCTTTCCAATCTCTGGGCAGTTTGGACTGCCTCAGAGACATGTCAAACAGTATCGCTAATGGCTCAGAGATTACATCTGATATGGCTTTTATAATCTTAGTATAAATATCATCAGGACCACTGGACTTATCAGGTTTGAGATGCTGAAGTAGCCTTAAAACAGTACCTTTTTCAATGACTATGCGATCCATCAGCAAGCCGCCACAATCATAATGAATTGTTGATCGTTCCTCATTACTAATAAAAAACACTACTGAAATATTCTGATGTAGCTTCAGCATTTTCAGTATCACTTTCTGCCAAGAATAACGGATTTTCTTGTATCAAAAGTGATGGAATTCCATCGCTTCTCTGAGTTTGCCTTTTTAAATAAAAGAATAACCGTTTCGGACTATATCTAGAATCCCTAACCAATTGTTTTTCATATAGTCGTCTAGTCTTACTTATCAAGGCTTTACAAGCATTCCTGATCTTACAATAACTGGATCTGTATTGTTCTAAGTCAGTAGAGATGAACATATCTCAGTGCTCCTTCCTTTTTCTAAGAAGTTTCCTGACGGGTTTAGTTATTCATGGTGTACTGTTATTTGGTCTTCGCGTTACCAAGTATGGTATGAACGAGGACGCTACTAAACTAGACTTACCTTTAAATATAGATCATGTTTCTTTAACTGATAAACTAGTATCTACAAGCCAATCTGTCTTAGCAGCGTATTTATGAATGGCTGACATGTTAGCTTTCCATACATTTGAACGGGGTGTAACCTGATCGTATAACATGTTCCTAGTTCTAAACGTGAATGATAAAGCAGCGTGATCGTTGTTCAGTAACGGTGGAAGAATATTTAGGTCGACAATATCCTCAGTCTCGTGAGTGATTACCAAGTCCAACAGAGAAGAACCTTGGTTTTCAACAAAACGTGTGGGTTTGGATACATGCTGCACTAGTGCATGCTCCATTATTGTTATCAGGAACCTACTATCAAAGGAGTTTGTAGATCCTTCCGTGATCATCTCAGTCCAACCGATATCAGGTGCTTTAATTTCTCCTATTATCAAGTATCTGGTATTTGCACTTCAAAGATGAATGTGCTCAAAAATAAAGTTATCAGCTAAGCCAATTGGGTTGCGATAGATGAAACTGAGCATAAATGTACTACATCCGATAGCCAGTTTACAGCGAATAACTTCACAAGCACCGCTTTCATGGGATTCGCTAGCAGATGGGCGAATATTTATATTATCGGCTATATATAACAGGACGCCACCTCCTTTTCTACATCCATGTCTATCACTCCTTAGGTAATGGTATACGGATACTTCTGGAGTAATGTCTAAGTCATGGACTAACCAAGTTTCTGTCACTGCTATAATGAGTGACCTTAATCTGTCCACTAATGCCTCTTGTTCATAGAACTTATTTCTTATTCTATGAACGTTAGCATATAAAACTTCTAGGTTGAACGACCTATCCTCACAAGCCTTGCTAGCATTCTCTTCCAAAACCTGACTATCCGAAAACTCACTAGCCGGAGATTTTCTTCGCCGTTTTGCCGACGGGTTTCTAGTTCAGCTGGTGCTTTCTTCCTCTTTATTCTATCTTCGAGAGACATATCAGGTCTAACTCGGGTGTCAGAATTGTCGTGACAACGAGCGCTACTTAACAAGAGATCCCGTTTCTTCTCTGATCCTGGGATTACCTTAAGGAGTTTGTATGGTCAGGGCTCAACATTGTCCTCGGTCCTCTTGCCTATTCTAATGAGTTTCTTGACCTGAACTCCTTTGGAGTTATCTGGTGAGATACTGCGAATATATTCTCCCAGCTTCTCTAAGTCATCTGCGTGTCTCATTTTGGGATCAGGGTCGTCTGACTCCAGCAATTTGCTCACAATAATATTCGATGAGATAATTTCCTTCTTCTCAGTCACGCCAGGGTGTGTTTCTCTCTTACTATCAAATTTTGGTAGTGCATCAGATTTTGGCAGTGCATTTTATGACTCACAATGGAAGTCTTTTAATGACTTCCTAACCAGCTGCGTACTGCCTACAGCTTTTTTCTCTTGGTTTAGTTTTCTCCGTACTGTAGTCAATTTTTCATCACTCAGGACACCGGAACTATTTGGAACGGTGGCGGTTTTATACGGATCTTCAATTCCCACTAGAAAAGCATGATTACCAATGCCAATTTCATGTGGCACAGTCGGGTGTTTGAGGCATCTCGTAACAGTCGATACTACACTGACATATTCGTCACTGTCAGTGCTCGTGTTATCAGAGCATGCGCCATCGTTTTCTTACAGGCCAAAGCCAATAGGCTCATAGCCTCCTGTATTAATAACGTCTTATTTGCACAGCAAAACATACAAAGCCAATATGAGTTAGGCTTCGAACATCTTTTGTATGCGGTGGGAGTCAAACTGGTACACATCTTATGGAACGACTTTTGCATTAATTACACACTGCATTCCTTCCTCCACAGGGAACAAGCAGTTTGGTCGTCCACGGTTGTGAGTGCTACCAGGCAATTTAGTCAGATTAAGGTGTAAAACACAATATAAACACCAGTGTCATTCAATAAGTAAAAGGGTACCACAAGACAAACTTAAGCAAGATTTCAAACCTTAACTAAAGTGATTTAATATAGACCAAGAATGTTTTTGATGCAACAATTACACAAAGGCAAGGATAACCACAACAAGCACAAAATCACTGCCCCTTTTGAAACGCGCGCGACAATAGAAGGATAAATGAGTCGATCTATCTGGG